TCGACTGAATTAGAGACCCACGATTAGGAGTCTGGTACAGTACCGAAAGTAACCGCTATGATATCTCTATGTATAGTTCTTTTTATGAATTTTAATTACTTCATTATTTTTTTAATCAATAGTTATAGATATATCTGTTCTTATGGTATCGATTGGTACTATTAGATATATCTTTTTTTTTAACTCGGCAAGTCTCGATTGGATATATCTTTCATGAGGCCTAAATCCTAATCCACTTAGAATAGAGGTTCCTTAATGTAGCCACAGAAGTTTCCTCGACTCCCAAGGACTAAAGCTGGTTCTCCTATCTATCTATATATATAATTGAAAAGACTAAAAGATCATACATAAGTTTTAACAAATCTACAAAACCTAGAATTCTTGAAACTCATGGCCTGTGAAGGTGTAAAAAGTTCTGGGGGCCTCGACTTTCATGGTGGCCCTGCAGGTGCAAGCCGACGTTCATATGATCTGCAGTGTTTTTCGGACTCTTCGTCATCGCCGTCACCATTGCCACCGCCGAGCACTTGTAGAGCTCACTGGGACTGGGAACCGTTGAATAATCTTTACATCACCGACGATATTATGGAAGGAGTTGGTTTCTACAGAGAAGATATGCCGGACTTTACACGAAAGAAAAAACGTAAACAAAGCAGTTGGCTTGGATGCATGCAATGCTTGGAGTTTTTGAAACTTTTGATTCGAAAGTAAATAGGGGTTTAATTTTTTTTAATTTTTTTTTTGAACGTAAATAGGGGTTTAATTCAATACCCTTTTTTGTTCCTCTTTCGGGTACACGAGATTCATAGATTATTGTGTGTTCTTATGCAATTTTTTTTTTTTTTTGTGAATATACATTATAATGGATTTGTTAATACTTCTCAAGTCTCATGTTAAAGTGCAATCAGGGCATCAAAAAAAGATAATGTTATTTGGATCTAATTATATACAATCTATTGTTATAGTGGTAACTCGTATCCGAAGGTACAATGCAATTTAAATGGTTGTAAGAAAATTATTGGTGGCCGTTGGATGAATCTATTTGACAAAGTCGGATGAGCTTTTGGAAGTCTACCATGTTTTATATTATAAATCATAGATAGACTCTATTCAATATTAAGATTCATTATTAATTTTGCAGTAACAATGATTAATTAATTAAATTAAATTCTATTTATCTATTACTATATAAAGGGGAAAAGGGCTTGAAAATCAATATTTTCTAAGGCAGTTTATGTATAAGTGATGTGATAGTTATGAATTATGTTTTGTTATATATATAGGATACAACATGCACATATATTGTATATAATCAGGCTATGATTCACCAAAATAGAGAATATTTACGCATGAATTATCGATAATTTTGAAGAAAAATGCTAGGCCCTGCAGATGATACCAAGAACCAGAACCCATTAGCTCAAATTAAACTCAGATAGCACAGTTCATGGCTGCACACCAAAAAAAAATATCAAATTAAACTTGAGACACAGATATTACTACCAAATGATTCACAGTACATGCACTATTGGTTTAAATGCATTACTAATATGACAAGGAAACCACAAATGGATCTACTTCAAGAATAATATCAAACTACATTGAATTCTAAACATGGATTTCTTGGTCAGTATATGGTCAGTATAAGGAAATCAAATATCAAGAAGACTATTCAACAGGTTATCAGAAGATCAAGGTGAAAAATTGCACCCGGGTACTCATCTATCAGTAATACCGAAAATAGTTTTGACTTCAAGACAAAAAATGAATGAGAGAAGAAGACATACAGGAATTCCGTTTCTTATTTCCCCTCTGAATCTGTAACTTGCTTCTCGTTGACATTGCTTTCTGTGCTGCTTTGCATTTCAAGTAGCTTCTGTTGTTCCTCCTCAGTTTCCTGTGGCTTTACTTCCTTCACCTCCTTAGGCTTGTTGCTTGTAGACTGCTGATACATAATACCACCTATCATACAGATCAATAGTCCCACTGTTCCAACGAATGTTGAATGTTTGTCCCAAATAACCAGATTGATTACAACTGTTAACAGCTTGTTCACAATGCCAAGAACAGTAAATCCGGTTGCAGAGATTGCCCTCCGACAAGAGAACCCAAAGAAAGAGATGGCTAAACCAAATAAACAAGACAGCCCCACTGGCAAAACCACCTGAAAAGAGTACCAATCCGACTCATCCGAAATTTCATGTTTTATCTTCTTCAGCTCCCCCATAATTAGCAGCTCTAAGGGGAATAGCAGCAGAGCCTCTAGATTATTGTACAGCACCAGTCCCCACGTGTTTAAACCAATGGTCATCACCACATGTTTGATGTAAACAAAATCTATGGACATGCTCATCAAGTAAGCCAGTGCCCAGCTATAGGCAGTAAGAGTGAACTGGTAATCTGTTAGGACATAAAGTACGCTACCACCAAAGATTGTGGCAAGTGAGAACCACGTCTTTATAGTTGGCCATGGTTGGTGCAAGTAGAGGGTCTCTCCTATTGCCACAAAGATAGGGACAGCTGAACGGAAGACAATGAATGTGTCAACGTTGGCATGGAGAAGGAGCTCACTGTTCGTGAAAAGAGACAGGTAGAATATAATTGCTGCTGGTAGAAATCGCCACATTGTCATAAAATCAAGCCGATCGTGCTCTATAAACTTGAGTGACCCAAAAAGGAGGACTCCAGCTGCACTGGTGACGTACTGTAAAGCAGTGAGTGCTCCAGGGTAAGGAAATTTCATGACAGCCCATTTGTTGATTATAGAGAGCAATGATGCCGAAATGCAGTATCCGGCAGCTATACCATAGACTGATGCTTGTTGGAGTAGGCAATTAAGCCATGTTGCTTGGGTTTCTATGGAAGCAGATAGGGAACCTGGGCCTGTTTGGGCTTCACCAGCTTTGGGATTTTCCACATCATTGGACATCTAGATCTAAGATGACGAAAAATTCGTATCATTTAAGAATGACAAATTCTTAACATGTTTAACAATTATTGTATATCTGAATTATGGAAGACTATTATAGACCACCCCTGCAGCAGAACCCACTAAGAAACATCAAGTAATAAATTAAACTCTACAACAGGAAGCAATTTCCTTAAAATCCACCTCTGCTGATTTAAGATCGTCTTGGTTAGTGTCAAGGATATATAGTGGTCAGTTTGATACTAATAACAAAGCATTTGTTTTCTTTAAGGAACAAAAGCAAGCAAAAGCGGACAAAGGCTATGGAGATCAGCAAAATCGTTGCAAGATTTATCATTTTTTCTTAGAACATGCTGAGCTAAAGGAGAACAACAATGGTAAAATGAAAAAGAATAAGAAAATATTGCAAGTTTGTAACTGGACATCACTTAATGCATCATTAAGTCAAAAAAAGGGAATGTACAATCGCCTAAAAGTAGATTGATTTGCATTTCCCCAGTTTAAAAGTGTCTGTCTGAGTAGTAGCTGATCTTAATGCAACATCAAGGCAAATGATGACATTGAAAAATCACCTATCACCATTAAACATCCACATGGTCAACCATCCAACCTGGTGATAATAACAGCATAGAGATTCAAATTCTGTTGTCTAAAATAAACCTATCTCAGTAAAGAAATCTACCACTTACTCGTGTCAGTTCAAAATATAAGGAGATCCTTCAATTAGGAGATGAACTACATTATTCTTGAACTTAAAGAGTAACTACTGCCTAAGATCCCCAAATACGGGAGAGCGAAAGAGTTCATGTCTATGAGCATTTCATTATAACTTACCAAACAATCAAAAATTCTAATTCGAACAAAATTCGATAATCCCAATCAGTAGAATGCTGAAATAATAGGGCACATAAAATGCAAGCACACCATCAAGCACAGATACATCACCAGATCAAAGCTGAACAAACAACAAGAGATCAAATAACAAAAGTACAAAGAGAGTCACCTTTTGGTGGCAATTTCTTCTAGATTTACAGCCACCGTCACTTTACCATTTCCGTCGATCCCTCCGCCACCGGAAATTTCAAAATCGCTCGCTAGACTATATGAGATACAGAAACAGCGAAGAAGTGGGATTCAGAGTTGCAATTTCTACAATGCTCCAGTTGTGAATCGCCGTGGCCTATGGACAGAGAAAACGGGAGCTCATCAATGGCCTCGGTAGCAGTTCAGGGTTGATAGTATCTATTGGAGAAAATGCAAGAGCGAGCGGAAGAGTGTTCAAACTATATTTAGGACGAATTGCATTTGGAACCCAAATGATTTATGAATTTTCACTTTATGCCCTTAAAGATTAAAATTTTTATATTACACCCTTAACATATTAAAAATACTGTAATATGCTCCTTTTTTTATTTTCCATTGCTTATTCCAATTCCATCAATGTCAATCGAATAATTTTTGATAGAATAAGAAATAGAAGTATTAGATTGACAATAGAAACCGTTATTGATTATGATCTACTATCAATTCAATGACTATGATATATTAGGTCAATAAATTAAATCTCAATGATATTTTTTAAATTAATATAACAAAACAAAAGAAAATATTCAATGTAATATTGATACAACGTTATTGGTGACATGTGTTATTACCAATCAATAATAATATACCAATACCATCTATGTGTACTGAATTTCCCTATTCTATTAACCTTTAATAACTACTACTCACTATCACCGATGATATGGTATGGAGTAAAATATTGGGTGCAACAGTATCACAAGAGTAAATATTCGATATAACAGTGACGAGTAATGTTACATAAACTTAAAAATTAGACTTGATAATTAGAAGTATTGATTTTGTTGTGGATTCCAGCATTTATTGGAACTCATTAATTATTCAATTGTTGAGATTATCAAGTCTAATTTTTAAGTTCATCTATCGTTACTCTGACAATGACACCACATCATCTTTGTTACATGTTATCTTCATCTAATAAAAGCAAAACATGTAAGTAAGTGAATCTGATATATTTTAGTAATCATCCCTCCGTGTCATTTACTAACCACTCAAAGTCTGAAAATAACTATTAAGTGGGGTTCCATTTACTTTGTCTACTTGTAAGTTTTTTATTAGATAATGACACCATATAAGAATAATGACATAGTGTCACCGTTACCTCCAATTAGGGTGTTCACTTTACTTTATGGATAAGAAATATAATCTTTCGTCTTCCTATTCGATACTTTGCAGAAGAATTTTTTCTTGACCTACCCTACCCGATCAAGTGTGGTATTTATACCCGACTTCCTAGCCGATTAATTGGGTAGGAAGTCGGGTAAATACTTTTATAGCTATTAATTTTTTGAACATTTTAAAATTTCAATTAAATAATATGCACCAATTTAACAACACAATAAATCAATTATACTAAAATCTAAAACAAATATAACAACAATTACAATAAAAACACAATAAAGTATGAACATCAATCCATCATAATTGTTACACAAATACAATAACAATTATTTTAAGTTTAAATTATATAAAACACATTAAAATCATAATTGTTCCAATAGATCATCAGTTTACCACAAATCATGTAACCTACACAAAAAACTAGTCTATGTTTTAGCAACTCAAACATCCACAACAATAACAATGTTATAATATAAATTATGTTACACAAATACTCTTATAATTACTAAAAAAATATAAAAAAAATAAATATATTTTTTGCGGGTAGGGTAGATTAAAAATGCAAAAATTAATAAATATTCCGCATTTCTATCCTATTTAATCGAAAGACTAAAAACTCATCCGCATTCCTATCCGATTGTTGCGGCTAGCCATTTAGAAGGGTAGAGTAAGATCGAGTAGGGTAGAAAATTACGATCAATCGAAAATTTGAAGACCCCTCTCTCCAATATTTACTCTATAGGTAACATTTACTCCATAAACCGGAAACAACCACGTGGAATTAGGGGAGGGGGTTAAAATTTGAAAAATCGGCTTGTTTATGAAACAGTTGCAACCCTTCTAATTCACAACTTCATCTTCAGTATATATTCATTCTCACCATTCTTCCTATAATACAAAAATCTTCCATTGCCAAGAAGTCACTGAGACTTTCTTTTCTCTGAATAGAACTTAGCATTTCTTCTACTTCTTATTCTTCATCTACAATGACAATGGCGTCGCTAAAATCCCGGTTAGAGCACTCTGTCACTCCCAATGCTCTTAGATCCTATCGTGCAGAGTTCATCTTCACATTCATTTTTGTTTTTGCAGTAGTCGGGTCGGCTATGTCGTCGCGTAAGCCCGAAACTTTGCTGATAGTTTAATAGTACTCTCCAAATATCAGTCCTTTATTTGTAAAATAGAATCTTTTTTTTCCCAAACATAATAAAGAGGCATTGTATGCTTGATTATTAGACAAATTATCTCGATTTTAGTGACCCGAATGCATACAACACAATGACATGAATTGAAATCCATTTGAGTGAAACCCGCTATATATAAGTGGGTTCCTTGATTTCAATCAATTCTAGTAGAATCCAAAAAATATATATATAACAGGGTTAGTAATCATCAAGAGAAATTGAATAAATCTATGCCTACCACAGCCATATGCTCAAGCATCACATCAATTGAACCCAAATATACAATCTTTGTTTAATTTTTTGTTGTAATAATGTTGTGTTTGCAAGGAAAATGACTGCGGGTACGACACCGTATCCTTCTAGTCTGTTGGCAATTGCAAATGCCTTGGCTTTGTCTGTGGCAGTATATATTTTTGCCACTATTTCTGGTGGGCATGTGAACCCAGCTGTGACTTTTGAAATGGCCATTGGAGGCCATATTAGTATTCCTATGATTGTGTTCTACTGGATCTCTCAGATGTTTGGTTCTGTCATTGCTTGCCTTCTCTTGAGAATCACTAATGTTGCAGAGGTACGAACTTTGGAAGGGTTTTTTTTCTTCCATTTTTTTGTGTCTTTAACAAGAATCATCAGAGTATGTGTTTTTTAGACTCACGATTACAATCCAATCATATGTAAATCACACGTAACAATTATACTTGGGTTTCTATGTAATTATGAAAAGTCCAATTCAAGACGTGCAATTTTATCTCCCTCAACTATCGTCCCAACCTCATTTTGTCCTCTCAATTATTGGTTGTAACACATTATTTATTCAACTACTTGAAGTGATTTCCCATTGTATTAAAACACATTATATGTTTGAAAGTTATGATAAAAAAAATTGTTTTGAAAATTGGAAAAATATGAAATAAGAACTAAAGTTGAAGGTTCAATTTGAAAAATGTGATAATTTAACGGTCAATTTAAACAAATAACCATTGATGGAGGTGGAATATGATAAATTAGAGTGAGATTCTCTCCAATACACTTTTTCTTCGACTCTTTTTTTTTGTACATCATCCATCATGCATTCAAATAAAACCCATTATATACAAGTGAGCTTTTTATTTATCAATATTAGGTCTTTCACTCATTAATGGTGGATGGTGTGCTAATAAGAAAATTGAAAAAAAAATGTATTAGAGAAGATCTGGTGATAGTTGAAGGACATTGGAGTTAAAATAAACACACACAATTGGGGGGGGGGGACCTTGACTGCAGCATATTCCAACCCATGAAATCCCATACGAAATGACCGGGTTTGGTGCATCCATATTAGAGGCATGATGACCTTCGCTGTGGTTTCTCCACAGCCGGGGACCCGAGATGCGGTTCTCTCGGCGCCATTGGACCTCTGGCCATTGGATTCATTGCAGGAGCCAACGTCTTGGAAGCAGTTTATTGGGTCGAACCCTTGTTTGGTGCAGCAATTCTTTACGAACATGTGGTGTTCCCCATTCAGACCTCTGTCTCTTTGGGAGACATTGCATATGGAATTGGTGTTTAACTACAATTATTCTCATTTGCCTCTGTTTCTTTTCTTTTCATTGTGTTTTTATTGTTGTAGCAAATTACTTAGGTGTACTCAGTGATTTTCGCACAATAGATGAAAAGATAGATCTTGCCCGTAATAAATTAGTGTTCGTTGAAAAAGTGAATGATCCCGTTGCAAAGGGAAAATCTGAAATGGCCAAAGAGGGCCTAAGAAGTAGTGATGAATTATTTTAAAGGCTGCTCAATCGATTTCGGCAGGTCGCAGGCGATTCCTGACACATAGAAAACAGGTTAGAAGGGCGCCGAAATATTTTTTGGTATATCCCCTCTGACGATCAAGTCAGTTGTTTGAGAGATGGGAAGAAGAAAACACTGTATGATTCTTTCAGAATAATTTTGCGTACCTTCGCATTGTATTTTTGAAGACTATTTATATCTCCAAAGGCACATTATCTCTGATGGTTTAGGCAGTAGGTAGTACCCCAGACATGGAACAGTGTGCCTCCTATTTTGCATAGGGGAGGCCCCCATTGTTAATTACTTGGACTCCCGTGTATTTAATGTTTTTTCTTCGATGTAGAGACTTCAAATNGATCAAGTCAGTTGTTTGAGAGATGAGAAGAAGAAAACACTGTATGATTCTTTCAGAATAATTTTGCGTACCTTCGCATTGTATTTTTGAAGACTATTTATATCTCCAAAGGCACATCATCTCTAATGGTTTAGGCAGTAAGTAGTACCCTAGACATGGAAAAGTGTGCCTCCTATTTTGCATAGGGGAGGCCCCCATTGTTAATTACTTGGACTCCCGTGTATTTAATGTTTTTTCTTCGATGTAGAGACTTCAAATGCTCGGACCCCGGATCATTTAATGCTCCATATCCTCAGTTTCCCAAGCTATTGTGGACGTCTCATCGCTAAGGATTCATTAAATATTTACCTTAGATTGCCGCATGTCAGCAAGGGTATTTTTGTCTATTTACCCCTCATTCTGCACTATACCATGCGTCTAACTCTTCTTGGTTGAGTGTCATGTTCGTCCAACTATTATGACTTTGTCGTGCAGAGTACCTTTATGATCTTTAGTCTAGTTTAGACTAATCAGCTGTCAATCAGTAACCTCTTCAAAGCTGAAAACACATGGCAAGATCAAAGTCAGTAAGTACCCTTGGAGCCAAGGACATGCGGCTACCTCATAGTAGAGGTACCCTCGGAACCGAGAACACGTGGCTGCACATGAGAGAGGGAGGTACCTTAACGCCAAGGAGACGTATCAGCAAAAAAAGAGGACTTGTCTTAGTGCCAAGGACACGTGTTTGTCAAAGGGGAGGACGTGCTTCAGCACCGAGGGCATGTGATTTTATCAGGGACAATGATGTGCCTCGGTGCCAATGACACATGTCAGGATCCTATCATTTCTTAGAAGTGTCTCATCATTATGTAATTATATTCTTGAATGATTAATAATTTCTTGTGTCAATTTGCTACTACCTGAGTTATGTTTAATTTTTGCCCAAAAAAAAGAGTTATGTTTAGTTGCTTTACATGTGATTGATGAGTAAATATTATACCAAAAGTAAGGTCGTTAATCAAATTGAGTTACTCGAGCTCGACTCAAGTTTTGTCGTTTTTGGCTTGTTCAAGTTTGGTTCGTTTAGAAAATAAGTCTAGCAAACTCGGTTCGAACTCGACTTGTTTATGTGTAAATACTCGAATTCGGCTTAGCTCATTATGAGAAAAACTTGAATAATTTTTTAAATTCGGTTAAGAAAACAGTTTTTTAGACTTGGTTCAGTTTCGTTCGTCTATCGACCCTAACTACAATAGAATTGTCACCTAATATCGCACAATATTATCGTTGCATTGAATTTTTTAATTTTTAAATTTAATTCTCAGGTGGATTTTTTTTCTAAATGTAAATATCTATAATTTCATTTGGTTCTTTTTGGTGTTGTTTCAAAAAAATGCTTCTAATATAAAATCCATGTGAAACTCTCATAATAAATTTGTAATTCCCAAGTGTTAAAAAGAGGTTGGGGGTGTATGTTAGAACCAACTAGTATTTCAAATATAAACATATATCAATCTTAAACACTATATAAAATCGTTTACCATTTATGTTCACAAAAAAAATAAAAATAGGAATGACAATATATATATTAATCACTTATTAGTACCAAACCGCTATTTTTTATTTTTTAATGTTCTAAAGATAAATATTTTTTACTGCATAATCATATGTTTTATTGAAACCAGATCATCAACAAAATGATATTTATACTGAAAAGAATAAAGGCTAAAAAACGAAAAAAAAATAATCTCCATAAAAAAACTCAATAGAATTAAAGATAAAAAAAGAAGAAGGGCAATCACACTTTATACCCGAAAAATTTAAGAGTTCTCTATTTTTACCTTTAAAGATTAGATTTTTTATGTACTACCCTCAATATATTAATGCTTCGTTTGATACGATAGAAAAATGAAAAGATGAAAAATTAGAAGAAGAGAAAGTTAGGGGGATAAATAAAGTATCATGTTTGGTAAGGAAGGAAAATAGGAAGGATGAAAAAGTGGATGAATTAACTTTCATTTCAACTCACAAAAATCAATTCATCCAAAATAGAAAGGAAAGTGAATGAAAATTAATTATTTGTATTGAGATATATCTTATTTATCTATATATCTTTTGATATATACATATATAATGTATATATTAATTTCATATAAAAATACAATGATAAAATATGTATTTATATATTTAAAAATAAAAAAATAAAATTTTTCCATCTTAACTAGAGATGAAAATTTTCGACTCAACACGATGACAAGACTCGAACTCGACAATAATTTTATGACACGAACTTGATTATAACTCGACACGAACTTGATTATAACTCGATACGAATTTGAAAATGACTTGACACACGAACAAGAAATATGAAAGGTTCATATTCAGTTCAATCAGTCAAACTCAAAATTGCCACCATCAACCCGTTTATTTAAAAATAAACATTTTCTTTATTTTATCGTTTGTATGGTAACACGAAATTAATAAAAAACTAACATGTTTATTATTTGTAACTATTTATTAAGCACAAACATAATAATTATATAATTTTTTTTTACTTATTATTATATTTATTTAAGTTAATTTTTAGTTTGTATAAAAAATATTAACATGGATTCAATTAAGTGAAAATAGAATATTAGCATGAAATTTTGTATTTAAAGTTTATGTAGGTCAACACGAATACGAATATGAACACGAACACGAACACGAAAATAAATAAGTTAACTTGTAACTCGACACGATACAATTAGTTAAATGAGTTGAGTTAAGCTTGACTAATGTTTGACACAAACTCGTAATGACTTAACAAGAATCTAGCACGACCCGACTCGATTGTCACGCCTAATCTTAACTACAAAAAAAAAAATTAGTCATTTTTATTTTTCATCAATCAAATCAAACACAAATGAAGGAAAATGTATCATTCATACTTTATTTTTTTTAAGGATAGAAAGTGTATCCCTTCTACTTTCCATCATTCATACCAAACGAAACATAAAATTATTGATAGTTTTTTTATTAGCTTTTTTTTTTTTGATTCAACAGCCAGGTATATCCGACCCAACTTATGCATAATTTGATTAATCTCATATCCAGTCCAATCAAAAGCAGACTATTTACACTCGGACTATAGTAATCATAAAAGATAAATTTTTCATGAGTTAGTTCCCATGTGATTGTTAAGATTCAAATTCAAGATATCTAAATTTATAGATCGTTACTGTTATCATTTGAGTTATCTCTTGTCTTTTGTTGTTTATTCCATCGATCATCGTTCATTTGACATTGACAGCATAAATAATAAAAACTAATGAAAATATCACATTACAAAAGTTTTAATACATTTAAGNATTAAGTGAAAATATAATATTAGCATGAAATTTTGTATTTAAAGTTTATGTAGGTCAACACGAATACGAATATGAACATGAACACGAAAATAAATAAGTTAACTTGTAACTCGACACGATACAATTAGTTAAATGAGTTGAGTTAAGTTTGACTAATGTTTGACACAAACTCGTAATGACTTAACACGAATCTAGCACGACCCGACTCGATTGTCACGCCTAATCTTAACTACAAAAAAAAAATTAGTCATATTTATTTTTCATCAATCAAATCAAACACAAATGAAGGAAAATATATCATTCATACTTTATTTCTTTTAAGGATAGAAATTGTATCCCTTCTACTTTCCATCATTTCTACTTTTCATCATTCATACCAAACGAAACATAAAATTATTGCAATGTAGTTTTTTTATTAGCTTTTTTTTTTTTTTGATTCAACAGCCAGGTATATCCGACCCAACTTATGCATAATTTGATTAATCTAATATCCAGTCCAATCAAAAATAGACTATTTACACTCGGACTATAGTAATCATAAAAGATAAATTTTTCATGAGTTAGTTCCCATGTGATTGCTAAGATTCAAATTCAAAATATCTAGATTTATAGATCGTTACTGCTATCATTTGAATTATCTCTTGTCTTTTGTTGTTTATTCCATCGATCATCGTTCATTTGACATTGACAGCATAAATAATAAAAACTAATGAAAATATCACATTACAAAAGTTTTAATACATTTAAGAAATATATGAAAAATATAATCTTTAAGGTTATAAAATATAAATTCTTAAATCTTTCAAGTGAAAAAAAAAAACAGTGTGATGATGTAGCGAGCTAATTATTTATCACCGATGTATCCCTCACCCCTTACCATTTCGGCAACCTTTACAACGGCGATCAATGGCGCCTAAAACACACTCTCTGTCCTCTTTATCCTCTGTCTCTGCGTTCCCTCTCCTTCAATTTTCAAACCCTAGCCCAAATATTCTCAGGTTGTACCCTTCAAAACCCACTCTCGTATTTTGCAAAGTCACACACTCACAAACCCCTCAAGACCACTTCTCAGTATCCACACCTGAACCCGAAGGGTTCGGAGCTGCGGCTCCCACCCGTGGGGAGATCTTCCTCGAACGCCAACAGTCGTTGGATGCTTCGGCTATGGTGCTGGAAGCGACCAAGAAGAGGAGGAAGAGGAAAGAGAAAGTTTTGAAGGTCTCTGCAGTGGTTTATAGCTGTTATGGTTGTGGAGCTCCTTTACAGACTTCCGAAATTGATGCTCCGGGTTATGTGGATCCCGATACTTACGAATTGGTATGAAACTCTTTTTGGGTTCTAGTAGTTACATTGTGGATGATTCAAGAATTAAGTAATTTTCTTTTTTATATGTGTAAATGGGTGGGTGAGTGAAATGATGTTTGCCTAATGTTTGTGGTAAGTTGCTTTTTTATTGTCTCAGAAATTGAATTTATTTGCTCTGTTTGAATTGGGTATTTTGAAAGATGCAGCAGAGCTGAGTGACAATGATTATGCAGTGTGCATACTGATAGTTTGTGAGAATGACTATGTAGTTTGCAAACTGATTGTTTGTGAGTTTGTATTTGGGTGATTCAGAAGTCAAATTTTATTACTTTTTACGGGCGATTACTGTTAGATTGGCTGAGTCGACTTGTTCAAATTGCAGTTTGCTCATTGATACTATAATGAGTTGGTGGCTGAAAATTATGCTAAGGACAACCTTAATGGTAATGCTTCCAAAATATCGTAGTGACTGTTTGACATTCCTGACTGAGAGTATTGTTACTTCTAATAGATACAGTGTGTGACTATTTACTGTTAAATTTAGTGGAATGACAGTACCTATTTTTTTCCATATAGGGGTCAGAGTTTCATTGTCCAAAGTAAAAATGCGGGATAGTCTTTTTTAATATGCTGGTTGGTGATTTAGAAACTTCAATTTATTACTCGTGACAAATTGTCATATCAAAGTTGTATGGCAAGATTGAATGACATGAGAATGCATACTGATTTTTTTTTTGTTTCGGGGGGGGGGGGGTTGTTTTGCAGAAGAAGAAACACCATCAACTTAGAACAGTTTTGTGTGGGAGGTGCCACCTATTGTCTCATGGGCACATGATTACAGCTGTTGGCGGAAATGGAGGCTATTCTGGTGGGAAGCAGTTTGTTTCAGCCGAGGAGCTTCGGGAGAAGCTATCTTATTTGTGCCATGAGAAAGCTTTGATTGTTAAATTGGTGAGCCTCACTGTTCGAATTCTAATCTGTCGTGAACTTTATATCTTGCCTTCAGACATATCAATTGCTTTGTCTATGAAAATGATCCCCTAAAATCTGTTTTTGAGGTTCATGTAATGAAAATGTATATACAGTTCTTTTGTTTGGGCTGGTAATCTAGCTGGTGAATACCTCTGTCATTTTTATGAGAAGATTTTGAGAGTTATGGGATTGGTTCTTGCAAAACTTGCTTATGTATTATGTTATGTTGACCTCTGTTGCCATTTGTAGTGGTCAGAGCTGTCATAGATTGGCCTAATCTTGGAATTTTTGATATGATTTTTTAAAAGAATCAGACATGGAATAGCCTAGTTGGGACAAGTGACAACAAAATTTGCTTGTCCCAAACGCAATAGCATATGTAATTGAAATTCCATCCGTGACTTGACCTCGGGAAGAAGCATGCCCATTAAGGGAGCAATGGTTGAAATACCTGATTTTTTCTGCTCAGTTTCAATCCATTATAATGGCTCAATTTCTTTTGTCTATTATATGTCCATAGTCCAGATCTATAACTGAGTTATTCTTGTTCATTCGTATGTTGCTACTGTTATCTCGGTTTAATTTATGTTGACATATTATGTGCATACGTTTGCAAAAAGGTATCAAAATATTATGTTGTGCAAACCATTTGATTATACTTGAGTTAATACTACCTTCTTCTTTCTTTTGAAAGGGAGTTAATATTAGCTTAAACACTTGACTTTTGTACTATTTTTTTTATCAGATGAGCGGTATTATCACCAGTTCAAAAAAAAGAAAAAAGAAGCTGTATCATCAAATTTTATAATATGATTTTATAACATGATTTTTCTTTAGAGACTTGATTGGGAAGATGTATTTGTTTACAAAATGTTGATGTTAGCAAAGTTGTGCAAAGGTTTAATCCTTTTCGGACAACTTGATTCAGTAAGTTTTGTTTTCTACAACTGCAGGTGTATTGCATGATGTATCATGAAATACCTTTAGCTTTACACTATATCAGACGTTAGGCCCCAATATCCTTTGCTTTTTCTAGATTGGGTTGCGGTAATTCTTGCTACAAGCGCTAGCTTGATTAACCAGATTATTAACTGTATGAGTGAGGCCTTTTGTGATGAAATTGTAGTGCCTAACTTGGAACATTATATTGGGACAATCTTCCAGTTGACAGGGATTTTTAATGTTTTACCTGAAATATTGAACAGATCATAGTACTCCACTTGCGTGCACTAAGCTTCCCATGTTTGACCTAAAACAACATACAAGTAATAAGCCTCCATTTGACTAGGAATTCAAGGAAAGGAAGGATTTAGCTGTTTGACACTTTTTTCTCTTCTTTTCCCCTATTTGTAGATAGAGTACAAGTAGTTAAAACCACGTTAAGAATAGTAGGGTAGTATGTATAAATTGTTGATAGTAATAAGGTGTATATGTAATTCTTATTATTGTGAGTTAACAATAAATATAAGTGTTGTATGAGAGCTAGGTTAATGTTTTTAACCACTCTCTGTTTTCCCTCTAATATTGTATTAATTCTCTAAACTTAATATGGTATCAGAGCGTTTACGATCCTAAATATATTCTAAATAAATTAACTCTCCATTGTGGTGGTAGTGGTACTGTTGTTGTGGTGGTGGCGGTATTGTTGGTACAAGCCACTGTTGTGGTGGTGTCGTTGCTGTGGAGGTGGTGGTACTTTTGTGAAAAGCCATTGTAGAAGCCATCGTGGTACTATGGTGGTGTTGTCGCGTGTGGTGGTGGCACTGTCGCTGTTGTGGTGGTGTCGTTGAAGCTATTGTGTTACTGTGGTGGTGTGTCGCTAGTTGTGGTGGCCTTCTCGCTGTCGTTTAGAGTCCGTCGTGTTGGTGGTGTGTCATGGTGGGCTGTCGTGGTGGTGAGGTGCAGTCGAAGATTAGGGTTTACTGAAACCCTAATCAACGAAGAAGAAGAACAGGAGCTCCTCGGGTCTGGATCAGATTTGGTCAAACTAGGGTCTTAAATTATTTTTTAAGTCCAACCCACGGTTCAGGCCGGTTTAGTGGTCCAGCCCCACGGTTTAGGCCGATTCAGCAGTCCAAAGAGCCCAGTCGGTCCGGTTCAGTGATCCAGCAAGTCAAACCGGCCCAGTTCAGAGGTCTAGCTATCTTTTCCAACCCGGTTCAGTAGTCCAGAGGGTTCAACCTATCCGGTTCAGTGATCCAGTACTCTTTTCTGGTCTGGTTCAGTGGTCCTGTGCTCTTTTCTGGTCCGGTTCAACTGTCCAGTGGATTATCTGATCCGGTTCAGCGTTCTAGTGAGATTTTCCAGCCTGGTTTGGTGATCCAGCAACTTTTTCTTCTTCGGTTCAGTAATGCAGTAGGTGATTCTTGTCCGGTTCAGTGATCTAGTGATTTTTTCTTTTTCTATTTGTTGCACTTATGGAACCCAAGCAAGACACAGGGTTGGTTACTATTACATGAGAGGAGTATGCTCAATTTCTGTCCCAGCAACAGGTTGTCCCATCTCCCTCCATTACTACTTTTACCCAGTCAAGTAATGCTTCCACGTGTTTATTGTCTTCTACTCATGGTCCCTGGATCATAGACTCTGGCACTTCTGATCACATGACTGGTGCGTCTGATATTTTTTCTACTTGTCAGTCTGCTACTTTCACACGTAGTGTTACTCTTGTTGATGGTATTTGTTCTAAAATTTTAGGTCTGGGGACTACTCACTTGAGTCCTGATATGTCTCTATCTTCTGTGTTATTTATTCCTCAGTTCCCTTTAATTACTTTCCATTAGTAAGATTACCCGTTCTCTCAATTATTCTGTAACTTTTTATCCCTCTTATTGTGTCTTTCAGGATCTCAAGACGAAGAGAAAGATTTGTACGGGACATGAAGCTGGTGGTCTATATTACCTTGATTTTGATTCACCTACCCGGGTTCTACAAACTTCGTTGTCTCCTTTTCAATGGCATTGTCGTCTTGGACATCCCTCTCTCCAGAATCTAAAGCGCCAAGTTTTCAGTCTTAGTTATGTGTCGTCTCTATCTTGTGAAGCTTGTCAACTTAGTAAGCATCACCGTGTGTCATTTCAGTCTAGAGTCAATAATCATGTGTCTAGTCCATTTGAGTTAGTACATTCTGATGTATGGAGTCTAATAAAAAATATTTCATCTAATAAATATTCTTATTTTGTGACATTTATGGATGACTATTCTCGTGTGACTTGGTTGTTTTTGATGAAAGATCGGTCTGAATTATTTTCTATATTTGAGACCTTTCATAAGGAAATAAAAAATCAGTATGGTTGTCGTATACGTACTTTACGTTTAGATAATGCTCAGGAATATGAATCTAATCTTTTTTCAGCTTATTTTAGTAAAGCTGACATGATTCATCAGACTTCTTGTGTTTACACCTCTCCACAGAATGGTGTTGCTGAATGCAAGAATCGTCATTTGTTGGAAGTTACCCGTGTCCTGTTATTCCAGATGAATATTCTTCGATATTTTTGGAGTGATGCTGTTCTTACTGCTTGTCATCTTATTAATCGTATGCCATCCTCTGTGCTAAATGGGCAAAGTTCATATTCTGTCATTTTTCCTGGTAAGCCTTTATTTTTCCTGATTTCTAAGGTTTTTGGATGTGTCTGTTATATTCACAATTTGGGTCCTAGGTTTGATAAACTTGACCCTCGAGCTATCAAATGTGTATTTCTTGGTTACTCTTGCACGCAGAAAGGGTATCGTTACTACAGTCCTTCTTTGCACTGATACTTTATTAGTGCCGATGTCACGTTTGAAGAATCTGTTCTATACTTTCTAGCACCTTCTTAGCCTTTGGATCATCTCCTATACCACCATCTCTTTCCTCATCTTCAGATATTCTGCTGCCCACTGTGTTACCATCTATTTTACCTCTCCGTGTCTAATCTCGCCGTCCTCGCCCATCAACTGAGGTGCCCGTATCGTCTTCCTCGCCGCCTTCTTCTCCTGGTACATCAGGTAATTTAGATTTTTTACCTATTGCTCTTCGCAAAGGTACTCGTTCGTGTGTTACTAATCATCTCATTTTTCATTTTGTTGCATATGATGCCTTGTCTCCTGTCTTCTCATGTTTTACTTTTCAATTATCTGCTATATCTATTCCTAAGCATTTACATGATACATTATCTGATCTGGGTTAGAGAAAAGCTATAGAGGAGGAGATGGATGCTTTATATCATAATAGAACTTGGGATCTCGTTCCTTTACCCCCTGGTAAATGAACTGTTGGCTGTCGTTGGGTATATATTGTTAAATTTCATCCAGATGGCTCTGTGGATTGTCTCAAAGCCCGGCTTGTTGTGAAGGGCTTTACTCATACTTATGGTGTTGATTATGAGGAAACTTTTTTTCCTGTTGCCAAAATTTTCTCTGTTCGTATCTCGATTTATTTGGCTGCTAAGGGGGAGTATCGTAAGAGTGTATGTCGGTTAAATAAATCTTTGTATGGTTTGAAGCAGTCACCGAGGGCATGGTTTTGTAAGTTTTCAGATGCAGTTTTAGAGTTTGGTCTTCTTTGATGTCAGACAAATCATTTTGTATTTCATAGACAAACAGATGCTGGATATGTTATATTGGTGGTCTATGTAGATGATATTGTGATTACTGGAAATGATTCTGAGGGGATTGTCAAGTTAAAAATATTCTTGCAGGATCGTTTTCATATTAAGGATTTGGAAAAACTCAGGTATTTTTTGGGTATTGAGGTGGCTCGATCTAAACAGCGTATTTGTTTATCCCAGAGGAAATATGTACTTGACATGCTAGAGGAAGCAGGTTTGCTGGGTAGCAGACCTATTGATGTTCCTATGGATCCGAATCAGAAATTTTGATGGATGATGGTGCACTGTTTGAGAATCCGGGTCGGTATCGCAGATTGGTTAGGAAGCTCAATTATCTTACTATTACTCAATCGGATATTTCCTATGCAGTCAGTATAGTAAGTCAGTTCATGGGGTGTCCTAGAGTACCACATTGGGAGACATTTACTCGTATTCTGCAATATCTCAAACGAGCTCCTGGATTTGGACTGTTATATCGAGCTAATGGACATCTTAGAGTGGAAGGTTTCTCAGATGTTGATTGGACTGACTCTCATTCTGATCGAAGATCAACCACTGGTTATTGTACTTTCTTAGGAGGTAATGTTGTTTCATGGAAAAGTAAGAAACAACCTGTGGTAGCAAGATCCAGCGCTGAGACTGAGTATAGGGCAATGACACATGCGACGAGTGAGTTGACTTGGCTACTACACTTCATCCAGGATATTAGGTTTTCAGTTCAACGCCCTTTACAATTGTTCTGTGACAACCAAGCGGCTATCCNAGTGAGTTGACTTGGCTACTACACTTCATCCAGGATATTAGGTTTTCAGTTCAACGCCCTTTACAATTGTTCTGTGACAACCAAGCAGCTATCTATATTGCTGCCCATCTTGTGTTTCACGAGAGAATCAAGTATATTGAGGTTGATTGTCACTTTATTCGGGACAAGATAGCAGTTGGGGAGATTACAACTCTATTTGTGAAATCTAAAGATCAGCTTGCAAATATGTTTACCAAAGCATTGAGTCGTATACGTCTTACAGTTATTTGTTCCAAGTTTGGATTATATGATATATATAGTCCAGCTTGAGGGAGAGTGTTAAGAATAGTAGAGTAGTATGTGTAAATTGTGGATAGTAATAGGGTGTATGTGTAATTTTTATTATTGTGAGCAAGGATCAAAATTTCGTTTCGAAGTACCGTTTCGGTCAACTCAAAAATAGAAACGTTTCGGAAACATTTCGGAAACGCAGAAAAAATATGAAAACGCATAGAAATACAAATGCAATCCATTAATTTATAAAGATATGCTAAATAATTTATTAATTCAACANCTGTGTTACCATCTATTTTACCTCTCCGTGTCTAATCTCGCCGTCCTCGCCCATCAACTGAGGTGCCCGTATCGTCTTCCTCGCCGCCTTCTTCTCCTGGTACATCAGGTAATTTAGATTTTTTACCTATTGCTCTTCGCAAAGGTACTCGTTCGTGTGTTACTAATCATCTCATTTTTCATTTTGTTGCATATGATGCCTTGTCTCCTGTCTTCTCATGTTTTACTTTTCAATTATCTGCTATATCTATTCCTAAGCATTTACATGATACATTATCTGATCTGGGTTAGAGAAAAGCTATAGAGGAGGAGATGGATGCTTTATATCATAATAGGACTTGGGATCTCGTTCCTTTACCCCCTGGTAAATGAACTGTTGGCTGTCGTTGGGTATATATTGTTAAATTTCATCCAGATGGCTCTGTGGATTGTCTCAAAGCCCGGCTTGTTGTGAAGGGCTTTACTCATACTTATGGTGTTGATTATGAGGAAACTTTTTTTCCTGTTGCCAAAATTTTCTCTGTTCGTATCTCGATTTATTTGGCTGCTAAGGGGGAGTATCGTAAGAGTGTATGTCGGTTAAATAAATCTTTGTATGGTTTGAAGCAGTCACCGAGGGCATGGTTTTGTAAGTTTTCAGATGCAGTTTTAGAGTTTGGTCTTCTTTGATGTCAGACAAATCATTTTGTATTTCATAGACAAACAGATGCTGGATATGTTATATTGGTGGTCTATGTAGATGATATTGTGATTACTGGAAATGATTCTGAGGGGATTGTCAAGTTAAAAATATTCTTGCAGGATCGTTTTCATATTAAGGATTTGAAAAAACTCAAGGTATTTTTTGGGTATTGAGGTGACTCGATCTAAACAGGGTATTTGTTTATCCCAGAGGACATATGTACTTGACATGCTAGAGGAAGCAGGTTTGCTGGGTAGCCGACCTATTGATGTTCCTATGGATCCGAATCAGAAACTTTTGATGGATGATGGTGCACTGTTTGAGAATCCGGGTCGGTATCGCAGATTGGTTAGGAAGCTCAATTATCTTACTATTACTCAATCGGATATTTCCTATGCAGTCAGTATAGTAAGTCAGTTCATGGGGTGTCCTAGAGTACCACATTGGGAGACATTTACTCGTATTCTGCAATATCTCAAACGAGCTTCTGGATTTGGACTGTTATATCGAGCTAATGGACATTTTAGAGTGGAAGGTTTCTCAGATGTTGATTGGGCTGACTCTCATTCTGATCGAAGATCAACCACTGGTTATTGTACTTTCTTAGGAGGTAATGTTGTTTCATGAAAAAGTAAGAAACAACCTGTGGTAGCAAGATCCAGTGCTGAGACTGAGTATAGGGCAATGACACATGCGACGAGTGAGTTGACTTGGCTACTACACTTCCTCCAGGAAATTAGGTTTTCAGTTCAACGCCCTTTACAATTGTTCTGTGACAACCAAGCAGCTATCTATATTGCTGCCCATCTTGTGTTTCACGAGAGAATCAAGTATATTGAGGTTGATTGTCACTTTATTCGGGACAAGATAGCAGTTGGGGAGATTACAACTCCATTTGTGAAATCTGAAGATCAGCTTACAAATATGTTTACCAAAGCATTGAGTCGTATACGTCTTACAGTTATTTGTTCCAAGTTTGAATTATATGATAGATATAGTCCAGCTTGAGGGGGAGTGTTAAGAATAGTAGAGTAGTATGTATAAATTGTGGATAGTAATAGGGTGTATGTGTAATTTTTATTATTATGAGTTAACTATAAATATAAGTGTTGTATGAGAGCTAGGTTAATGTTTTTAACCATTCTCTGTTTTCTTTCTAATATTGTATTAATTCTCTAAACTTAACAAACCATATCTGAAACACTGAGGTTATTGCCTTTTAATCATTTGTAGGTTGATATAGTAGACTTCAATGGAAGCTTTTTGGCTCGTGTGCGCGATCTTGCTGGTGCAAATCCAATAATATTGGTCGTGACTAAGGTAATGATTCGTATTGAGTTATTCTCTCAGTCGGATAGTTTGTTTGGGTAGTTTTTCTGATCTAGTTACCCATTCCATTAACACTTATTTATCTTCATCAAGGTTGATCTTCTTCCCAAGGGGACCGATCTCAATTGTGTTGGAGACTGGGTTGTGGAGGCTACCATGAAGAAGAAGCTTAAGTAAGTCACAGACTCTGTGTTTGCGTTTTGTTTTGCTATGTGTTCTAGCAAAACATTCTCTGCAAGGGCACAAATGTTCTTTATTAGCAAACCTGCAAGCTTGGATATTCATGTCCTACAGTATAGTTACTTTTTGTTGTTGGTGCTTGTTTGTCTGTCTTAGAGTGCATGGCGTGCTGATTTCCATAGCAGTTTTGGTGTAGTATAAAATAACTTGATCATTTTTGAAACTTGAGTATCAGAAACTTAAAAGTAAGATGAATATTTATTTAGACTATAAAAAGATGTAGCGAGATTGATGGTGTCTGTAAAGCTGGATAAAATTCAGGGAATAAGAGTGAAATTTGAATTTGAAATAATAGTTCTAAGTAGAGGACTTGGCAGCATGTCCGTGATTGAATAATCATCATCACTTATGTAGTCATGTTCCTGTCTTAGGACAACTTGAAGTGTTAGCACCCTCCTATCTAAGTTCCAAAGATGTAAAAAGGAACCACCAAAAGTAGATAATAAAGATGCCTGCTGAAAAACTAAACAATTCCTAATTCAANCTTCTTGTCTTGATAACCTTTTTCAGATTTTTATAATATTTTTGGTTGTGAAATCAGAGACGATGTCATATAAGGACCCAGTTGCTGCAGCAGCACAAAGGTACAAACCAATTCAATCTGCTGTTCCTGGAACTACCTTGGGGCCAATTCAGATTGATGCTTTCCTAGGAGCGGTAGGTGATTTTCATGCTTGTATAATTAGGAGCCAACTCTTGCGACTAATGGTTTGCATACTGTTATCTTAGTTTCTGGGGTAATGGAATCCATTATCCCAAAAGAAGAATAAGTGAAATTCTCTGAGTTTTCCAAGCAAGGATAGCAATTATCATTTTCCTCTCAGGCATATTTCCAGGCTCCATTTAACCTAATACTAGCAATAATCTTCATAAAATCATCCTAACTATGTATAGCCTTCAAAGTCTCAGAGCCCTTGAATTGCGAATATAAGAAAGTACGACCTACACCCTCAAAACCACAAAGTGCAATATGATATAACCAAAAATCCTTAACGCTTTTTTATGAGCTCAAAGTTAGAAACCTCCAACGGTGCTTGGTTATTGTGCTATATTTGTGCATTTCACTGTCCAGGTAGGTGACTGCCCATCAATTAGTTATATTCTCATTTTGTGTTTGCTCAGTTTTACTGATTACTGAATCAGCATTAGCATTCTTTGCTTTCTGAAGATGAGTGCATGAACAATTTTCCCCATCCTAAAGAGGTTTTAACATTCTTTTTTTTCCTCTAATTTAGAAATTATATGACACACCTGGAGTTCATCTCCACCATAGACAAGCTGCAGTGGTTCATTCAGAAGATCTACCTGCACTTGCTCCCAAAAGTCGGCTGAGAGGTCAATCTTTTCCAGTATGTTTCTTTCTATATTACCTCTGAGATATCCCTCTTCACATATATATACTGAAGTTTTTTTTGTATTCTGCTATCTCTTCGTTGGTTGATTCTGCAAAAATAGAATGCTCAGTTGGCCTCAGACAAGTCGGTGGCTGAAAAAATTGGGTCCAGTGGCTTGAATGGCTTTTCTATATTCTGGGGAGGCCTTGTCCGAATTGATATCATAAAGGTTTAAAATCTCGAAGTTTCAATTTATTTTTTGGTAGGCATCCCAGGCTGGGGTGCAGCAATGTCTTCATACTACTCTTTTTTGTTAGGTTCTGCCAGAGACTTGTTTGACATTCTATGGACCCAAGGCTTTGCAGATCCATATGGTACCCACTGATAAAGCAGATGAATTTTACCAGGTAATATCAAACCCTTCCTACATACATTGTTTATTTTGGCCCTTTGTTGTTTTGCTTGTGTTGGCCCATATAACACCATTTTTTAGGGGTGAAAAAAGCATGGGAAAAGTGAGCTATGTTGACTGTTTATTTTTATGTATTATGAAAATGTGTCAACAACTGGACAAATAATTGCTCAGTCATTTATTTCTTTATTTTCGTTTATCTGGCCTTGTAGTGAAGGACATTTGCTTTTGTATTTAATCCAAAAGAATCTTTTTCTGTCCTTCTTGTAGAAACCGTTTTAACGAAACATTTACTCGAACAGAGAGAGGTCTTTTGCTGGCAATATGCTTATACCTTGTTGTTTGGTTTTAAAAGTTTCTTAAACCGAGCGAATTGTGGTTTTACGATGACATAGAGACAACCATGAAATGCAAATTAGAGGTTACTTTAGAAGGCAGGGTTGAAGCTTCAGTTTGAATAACAATGACTGTGAAAATGGCATCAGTCGAGATTAGAATTCAACTTTTGGCATTGACATGCCTTGCATTGTTCACTGAAAGGAAATGACATGTCTCCATCTTGAGTCCAGAAAAATCTGCTTTTAAATTGCTTGAATAAAACGTGTCAATTTGCCTAGCTCTCGAAGGCTTATGAGTTATCTGTCTAATTTCCTTTTATGTGCATATGTTTCCCTTTTTTGGCATTGTGTTAAAACACAAGTTTTGGGTTTGGCAGTCTGCTGGGCTCAGCAAATTATTAGAATTAATTTTGTGTAACCTATCAGATTGTTAACATATTTTTCAATATTACCATCTCATGTATAGTGTACATATCGGATGGCCTTATGTTATCTATGACTTGTGGATATGGATATGGAAAGGACTTAGACCCATTCGGTCTCTAATAACATATCTTATTGTGCTTCTATTGTTCTGGATATACTTACCAGTATCTAAACACAATGAGTTTCATCACTTGTCAAGAAATCATTTAAAAAGATTTGTCACTTGTCTATGGATAACTTCCGCATCTATTTTGATCTTCCTGCTACCCTCAGTGTAGGACCACATCGAAGGTTCTCTTTGTTGCTCTTTCTTTTTTTTGGTGCTTCCTTTGGTACCTGTGTGCTCCATCATTCAGTATGCTAAATATTCCATAGAAGTATGAATCTGCATTTTCCTGGGAGGGCGATTGAGGAATAGTTTATCCCTATAAAATCACGGAATATCTTCTGATCTGATTTTGCAGAAAGAAGTAGGAGTTCTATTGACACCTCCAACTGGAAAACAAAGGGCAGGTGACTGGATGGGGCTCGAAACAGAACGCCAGTTGCAAATAAAATATGAAGATGCTGAGAGGTAGTAATCATTTCGCTAATGCCCATGTTAATTCTTTCTTGAATTGTTTTATAGCTGTTAAGGTTGCTATTTTCAGTCGCCATGTTTTCCTTTTTAGAACGTATGGGGTTATTCATTTCAGCTCTTTGCAATATGTTGTCTTCTGGTTTTAGCTTTCGAGCAGTTACTGTCATCAAACCCGGAAGCTTAAGATTTCTTATTCTCTTCCCTTGAGCAGGCCTGCCTGTGATGTTGCTATATCAGGTCTTGGATGGATTACCGTTGAACCAGTTAACAAATCACACAGAATTTCTGATTCATCTGTAGAAGAAACTGCCAAAGAGCTACATTTGGCTGTCCATGTTCCAAAGCCCGTTGAGATTTTTGTTCGGCCTCCAATGCCAGTGGGCAAGACAGGAGGAGAGTTGTATCAGTATCGCGAGCTGACAGAGGAGGAAGAGGAAATTAGACCAAAATGGTTCTTTTGACGCACTGCCTGTGAAAGTCATTGTGTACAATCACTTTGCATTGGCCATATAGGAAGTGCAGAGAGGCAGTGTCATATTTATTAGCAAAGATGTAGCAGGAAACGAAAAAGAACAAAAAAAAAAAAAGGCGTCACCCTCCTCTTTTTCTTTCTTGTTGGAATTCATACGAGTATGATGTTTGTTGTTGTGCAGCTAGGGGAAGGAGATGGCTCTTTAGTCTTTAAGCCTTCGGTGGCAAAGGCCGCCTGGCATTTGGCAGCATTCAAATGTTGCAATGTATGCTCATCCTCATTATAGGGGTGACTTAGATAGAGGGCTGTTAGTCGAATGAGCCCAAGTCGAGTTCGAGTCGAGCTTGAAAAGCTTGTTTCTTAATTGAGCTTTAAAAATTATTCAAGTTTGACTCATTTAAGAAACGAGTCAAGTCCAAGTCAAGTCTAGCTTGAGTATTTGCACATAAATGAGTTTGTCGAGTTTGAATCTGAGTTTAAAAACTTGTTTAAGTTCGAGCTTGTTTAGAAAACGAACCGAGTAATTTGATTAACAACTCTATTTAGATCACATAGAGCGGGAGTGGGGGAAAGGGCTTGGGTGAAGCTGTAATGTTGATACAAGTCTACACGGCTAAGACAAATATGATAATTCAACACGATGATTTAAACCCAACTTAACAACCCCCCTCCCCCCTCTTTTATTTGAATTGGAATTCAAGTAGGACATGAATTGGTACTGTTGATCTATGAAAAATTTTAAGATTTTCACTTTTGACCTTTAAAAATTAAATTTTTTATATTGTATTTCAATGTATCCAAAGTGTTTCAATGTGGCATATCTGTTAGTTTTCAATATTTTTTTGTTAAAAGTCAATTCATTGACACTAATGAAAACATTGAGGGTAAAATGTGAAATCTTAAAATTTTTCAAGGGGTAAAGTATAATTCATACTTTATTTTATTTTAAAGCATTGTTTCCAAAAAATTATATTTCACCTTCGCTTACGTGATCAAGTCATTTACGCTCCCAAAATCAGAAATCCGTCGGTTCCCAATTCCGGTCTAGGGTTTCGATATTTAAAACCCTAACGGTCTAGGAGATATGCTTAAAGTTTCAAAAACTATCTCCTCCAGCCCTTCAGCTATACAGTCAAGGGAGAGCCAATTCTTGAATTTCTATGGTAATATTTTACCAAGTTTTCTTTGAATTCTTTCTGCCAAAAACTTGGTTCTTTGCCTTTCTCCCATCATAACTTTTGGCATCACCGGCCATTCCTCCCTTCACAGATTTCCGCACCACTGGTCATTCTTCCTTTCACAGATTTCCTAACCCTAATCATTTTCTCATCAACCATGGCATTTGATGGATCCAGTTCGACTTTGAGCTCAGATATCCAAAAACCACCGACCAAGTTACGAAGGAAAAAAAAACACATGAATTCATGACTAAATGAAAGTAGAGGAAGAGCCAAATCACAGCATCTACAATATCTATAAGTTTATATATCGCTTGTTAACAAAGCCTCCATCTGTTCAAAGGTAACTGAAGAGATGCACAATGTTCACGTTACAGGGATTGCTTTTAATGCGGCAGAGTATTGAGGAAAAAGGTAGGGGAAATTTGCTAACAATGCTGGTGCATTTTGTGGGTGGTACGACTTGCGTAAACAGAAATTATACATATCAAAGCATAACACATCTCAGCTGAATCCATCAGCAGAACTTGTTTCCAGCCAGCTGAGTTGATTATGGCATCAAATCAGAGGGAACCCCCGTGCGTGCCACACCCAATTTGCATCCATGCTAAACGCATCCAATTTTCTCATACATTTTTTTTTTTGCAGTGGAAAAGAGTGTCAGGCATACAAGCATGGTTCGAATGTAAAGGCAACCAATTTATAAGCAAATAATGCCAAATGTTAGGACTATATCTAATCCACCCTTTCAAGCTCCTTCATTTACCGAAGTCCCTGGACAATGAACCCTCTTTTGACCTCAGTCTTTAATGGTACGATAGAAATGTGTCAAACAGTTATCAACTTTATTGCATAATACATTTATATATCGAATTAGCACAAGGTTTACTATAGATGCATGTAAAATGCATATATACCTCAATGTATACAGTCTTCTACATACCCATAACTTTGAAAGCCAGAAATTCTTGTAATCTACTGTTCAGCTGATTGCCCACCGGTTTCTTTGGAATCTATACCCTGTTCAATACACTGGAAAGACAACAAAATTCAAGAAATTTCAGATTTAACAGATATATGGCAGAAGAGTGCTGTTTGGCCATTTCATAATGTTTATAGAACAAATGGCAGAAGAATTTTTTATACTTCTCGTATATCTGAGTCATTTAAGATCTCAGGATTTTACCCACAGATGACAATATAATGAACACAAAAAATGCGGTTATCCAAATTTAAAAAACATTGAAAAACGGAGTTAGACATATATGGCAGCTCGTTATTGCCATTCACAAAGAGAAACTGAATACAGTGTCATTAGGGGGAAGTATGATCCAGTTACACCAATAAAATTCAAGAAGGCAAAGCAGCCCATACAAAAATCCCAGTGATCACCGACATTCTTCAGATCCCCTCCAATACATTTAGGAGTGAGGGACTCCCTTGTATACAATGGATCCCACTTGAATGTATGGTAGGTGATCTGCCAAAAAAGAAATTGAAGAGAAAATGTATTGGAAACGATCTCACTCCCTAATCACAGAGGCTTTTGACTTCATTGCTAATGAAGTTTAGGATCAGAAGCGGGGGCAGGGGGTACATATGTCAATATCTCCTAGGTTAAAGAAGCGAGCATATGGCCTGTACGATACAGCATGTGAAAAGATCAGAAAACAGATATACCTGAAGAAGATAATTATGCAGCCCATCTAGTGTTTGCGGGAATGTTGTAGCTGATATGTTGACAACAGTTGAGCCCTGCTTGCAAGAAGAGGAAGAAAGAAGAAAATAAGAGAAAGCATTGACATTATATTCATAGTCCTTAATGGAGTCCCAACTATCAAAATGCAAGCTACAAGAATCTATGTTAACAGTCTAAAGACAAGCTTTTAGGAAATACAGTATGCTGCACTAGCATTTATGAGGCATAACCCATGCACGTCATGAAGTGGAAGTGGAGATTCCTTTAAGAGGCAGCTGCAAGAATACTAATGAAATCCAATTTCTGCACTTACAAACTTAAAACTGCACACTGGTGTCAAATTTGAATTGATATATTTCAAGTAGTTGCCTTCTGCTTTTTGTTTTTTTTTTTTTTTGAGGGAGGAGGGGGTAGGCTGGAGCCCGGATATCATTCCTACGATTTTTCTTACCATCATCACACCACTCATTTCAAAATCATCAAATTGTTGACTTCAGCAGTCCAGATTCTTACAATATTGAATAGAGTCTTGACTCATAAGGTTGACAGATGGGGGACTTGAAAGAAACTCAGCCTGCAACATATCAGCAAAGAGAATCACCTTGGAAGAAGCTTACCTGTGAATCGAATGAGCAAAGATAGTCCTGAATGGTCTTCAAGTTGTCCATTAATTTATCTTTGTCCTGAAAAATACTTCAAACAATTCCTGATCAAGTTCATGGATATCATTTAAATTTGCTTACTCTAAAAGCAAAGATGATGATCGAAATAAACAAATGTATATGAAGTTCCAAGTAACAATCAAGATAACAACCAAGAACCAAAAGATAAAATGAAAGGAAATAAAGTAACCATCACTAAGTCTGAGAAAATATAATTCTGAAACAAGTGTCCTAGGACACGTGAATGACCCACCGCAAGAACCCAGTGTCCCATGTACTAATTGACTGATATGCACCTATAAACAGGGGTGCATAACATTAGGTAGCCACATTGAACAATCCAGGCCACTCTCAACTTGTGGTTGTCCTGTCCAATTCCAAGGTCTTCAAACGAAATCAATGTTGTGTTATTAGACAACATGCTGAGCAAAAAGTAGGTGACCAATCTGGTGATCAACACCTTTGGATTTGCTGGGCAAATATCACCATCTTTGGAGAACCAAAACAACTGCTATAGACCCAACAGCAATTAGGACTTCCCAAAGGAAATTGTTGTAGAAGTGACTAGAGACTTGTTTCTGTGTTTTATAGATAGTACCCTGCTAACTTTAGAAAGTTTATAGGGTCAATGGTGTTTTAGCAAATTACTTGCTGTCCACAAATTTCAGCAAAATCAGAGCTGCACCAATTCTAAACCCCTTTGGCTTCACAAACCTTATGCCAATTCTTCCACCTCACAAAATCCTAGACAAATCTATAATTCAGCCTTTAGCATTGTCGCATATCAACATCAATTTTTTTTCCGCTTTCAATACAGCTAATTCTCAGAAGAGATAAAATTTGCAAATATTTGATGATTGATTGAAAGAGACAATTCAATAAGAATTCGACAAAACAAAATTCAAAAGAAAATAGTCGTAGAAAACAGAGCCCTTGACATGGGAACCACAACAATATGTATACCGACATCCAACATGCACTCATGGGATCAACTTCCATTGCTTTGTACTAACTCAAAAAAGCTTTGTCCTAACTACTTTAAATTTTTCATTATTCTCAATTATCCAAAATACTCCAAAACATTATTCAAGAAAGTACATGTGAAAACTTAAGGGAACTAAATGATGCAGTGTATTCCATCTCGGATGGTATAATCTTAGGCCAAACAAAATTATAGTTCACAATTTTATCAGTCTTCAAAAGCATGGTAGAATAACACAAGTTGTCACCTGGATTGGGTATCTGTCGCAGGAGGTACGAGTAGATATCCACTCCTCTAGTAGAGCCTGCACATGAGCAGAACAGATTTATAAAAGACAGAAAAGCCCAGAAGGAAGAAAAGAGACACCAAATGAGCTACTATCACTTAGTTGAATCAGGTATAGCATAGAACAACAGAGGACAATATCAAGTACTGATACAAAAAGAAATCCTAAAAAAACTTACCATATTCCACGAGAGGTAGTAGTAGTAAAATAGCAAAGGCGATTAAACTTTTGATCTGATCACAGCAGAAAGAAAAAATAGCAAGAGGAATGAGAATTGTGCCACACCTTATGATCAAATTCTGCCATCTTTAGGACTATGGGTATAATAATTGGTTGAGCACCAGACTTTTCTTTTTTAGCGGGGGGGTTTCCACCTACCTCTGGATCTTCAATTGTGTTACCTACGTGGCAAGAAATAACAGTTAGAACATATAATATATGGGCCTAGTTAGAAGAATACAGAGTGAGAGTAAACCTTGTTTCTCAGGAACACTTCCACCTATGTCAATAGATTTCAGACCATCCAAAGCCTTCAACTCATCAGCAGATGTCCCTCCCTCTGTCCTCGCATTCCCAGGGCTGCAGTGTCTATTCTCACTAAGACTACCACCAAAAATGGTAGAATTATTTTCCCTTTGTGTTGCATTTTTATTATCTGCTTTCACAAAATTTGGCTCTTCAGCCTTTGGTGACATGCTAGTTGGTAATTTGTTCTCATCATCCATTAGGTATATACTTGGATCCAAATGTATTCCCTGTCATTATTACAAAAGCCAATCTCGATCAGCCAACTGAAAATTGGAAATCACAGGTGCACAATGATAATATAATTGCTTATCACATTTTCACATAAATTTAGGTGGTATTTGCTAAAACTGAAACTAAATGCTGAATTTTTTAATCTAAAAACTATTTGCCATGCACTGAAATTTAAACACTAAATTGATTCAAACTGTTTGCTGAGTACAAAGAGCTAAATTGAATCAAACTTTNTTTCGACAAAACAAAATTCAAAAGAAAATAGTCGTAGAAAACAGAGCCCTTGACATGGGAACCACAACAATATGTATACCGACATCCAACATGCACTCATGGGATCAACTTCCATTGCTTTGTACTAACTCAAAAAAGCTTTGTCCTAACTACTTTAAATTTTTCATTATTCTCAATTATCCAAAATACTCCAAAACATTATTCAAGAAAGTACATGTGAAAACTTAAGGGAACTAAATGATGCAGTGTATTCCATCTCGGATGGTATAATCTTAGGCCAAACAAAATTATAGTTCACAATTTTATCAGTCTTCAAAAGCATGGTAGAATAACACAAGTTGTCACCTGGATTGGGTATCTGTCGCAGGAGGTACGAGTAGATATCCACTCCTCTAGTAGAGCCTGCACATGAGCAGAACAGATTTATAAAAGACAGAAAAGCCCAGAAGGAAGAAAAGAGACACCAAATGAGCTACTATCACTTAGTTGAATCAGGTATAGCATAGAACAACAGACGACAATATCAAGTACTGATACAAAAAGAAATCCTAAAAAAACTTACCATATTCCACGAGAGGTAGTAGTAGTAAAATAGCAAAGGCGATTAAACTTTTGATCTGATCACAGCAGAAAGAAAAAATAGCAAGAGGAATGAGAATTGTGCCACACCTTATGATCAAATTCTGCCATCTTTAGGACTATGGGTATAATAATTGGTTGAGCACCAGACTTTTCTTTTTTAGCGGGGGGGTTTCTACCTACCTCTGGATCTTCAATTGTGTTACCTACGTGGCAAGAAATAACAGTTAGAACATATAATATATGGGCCTAGTTATTAGAATACAGAGTGAGAGTAAACCTTGTTTCTCAGGAACACTTCCACCTATGTCAATAGATTTCAGACCATCCAAAGCCTTCAACTCATCAGCAGATGTCCCTCCCTCTGTCCTCGCATTCCCAGGGCTGCAGTGTCTATTCTCACTAAGACTACCACCAAAAATGGTAGAATTATTTTCCCTTTGTGTTGCATTTTTATTATCTGCTTTCACAAAATTTGGCTCTTCAGCCTTTGGTGACATGCTAGTTGGTAATTTGTTCTCATCATCCATTAGGTATATACTTGGATCCAAATGTATTCCCTGTCATTATTACAAAAGCCAATCTCGATCAGCCAACTGAAAATTGGAAATCACAGGTGCACAATGATAATATAATTGCTTATCACATTTTCACATAATTTAGGTGGTATTTGCTAAAACTGAAAACTAAATGCTGAATTTTTTAATCTAAAAACTATTTGCCATGCACTGAAATTTAAACACTAAATTGATTCAAACTGTTTGCTGAGTACAAAGAGCTAAATTGAATCAAACTTTTGCCCTTTCCCTCCGCCGCCCTAATACCACTATCCCATTGCCCCTACGTTACATGCACCGCCACCACCCCACACACCACAGCCACATCAGGGTGGCATCAAGTTGTGTTGTCTTGTATCGTGGATGAATTCGTATCAAGTATTAATCAACTTTTACTCAATCCATTTGATTAATAATGCCAAATATCTCGACAAAACTGAATTTGTTTACTAATAGTGTTGTGTTTAAGTTAACCCATATAATCTATGAACTAAATATTTAATACTAGACGGTATAACTCAAATAACGCATTAACCAAAAATGGGTTTATGGTGTCAAAATCAGTTATCAGTGTTCACCACTAACTTGCCTATTTGTTAATAGTGTTATTTTCGATTTTATGTCAAGAACTAGTCAATCTTATTTCACTAATTTCATAGTGAATTTGCGTTGTTCATACGTACCATTTCAAAAATCGCCACCGCCACAACCACCATTGTCATCATCACCACCACCACCATGGTCATGAACTTGAGAAATTCTTATTAAAGAAATAGATTGTAGAAATAAAAACCATGAAAGTCATTGGAACTTTAGTTTTAATCTCTTTCATTGACATTATGATATTCCTTTGGCAGATAGATACTTGTGGTTGTAGCTGTAAGATAAATTCTTTCCCCACAACTAAGTTGTTGAATCAGAAATTCAACAGACAAACTAAGTGCAATTAGCTCCTATTGAATCTGAAATTAAGTCAACAAATCAAACTCAACAGAATTAGGGTTTGTGAGATTTTTTGGTATTATAAGCTCCCTTCCACTGGGTGTTTTCTGTAAGTACCGTTGAGGTTGATCCAGAGTTGCTGCAGGAGATCATCAGAAGAATTGAGAAGAGAGTCGTTACCAGAGGCGGTGCAAAATAAACGTTGAATATATTTGCTGCAACATTGAGAGTTGGTAGCAAAACCAATTAAGGGTAAAAAGGCTGAGCTACTGAAAATTTTAACCCATTTTCAAGTGATATTCATCTCATTACACAGTATGGGTTTTTTATTATCATAGGTGTTGAATAAATTGTGTCGAATATCTTAGGTTTTAAGCATTAATTAATGCTATCAAATAGCCCTTTAATGCACTATATATTAGAGCATCCAACCAAAACCAATTGCATATGGGTGGAGTAACCCCTCAAATATATCAATCAACCTTGGGTGGCCATGATCATCAAGCTCTCTTTACACCCTCTCTCATGTGGGACCTAGGCTCACATGTTAGACTACCAAACAAACACAAACATGCTTAACCGAAAAGTTCAAATGGGTAAGAGAGTCGGCCCACTTAGATCTGATACCATGTTAGAGTATCCACCACAAAACAATTGGCTATGGTTGGAATAGCCCCGTCAAGTACATAAACCAATTTTGGGTGACCCTAGTTATTCCAAGCTTTCCTTACACTACAGATAATTCATAACATAGCACACTGATGTAAGTGGCCATTGGTAACATTAGCAACACTGAAAATTCTGTCAAGGAGGGTTTTAAAAGCTTATATGTCCTATATTCCATCCACGCCAGATATTGTAAGTTTATCCACTGTATGGGTTTCCACCTCCAAAGATGGCTTACCAGACTTGAGGTTTATATTTACTGCCAGACTAACCATTGTTGTATAAATTCAGAATTAGTGGGCAAACTGGAAAAGTACTCCTAAGATAAAATCAGAATAATACTTCCCAAAGGAAATAGTGTGGAATTGGTAGGCATGTTGTTCTGCCACTTACCACAAGGAAAAAATATGGAAAAAAGCATAAAAAATGTAGCGCAGAAAGAAGCAAGCATAGCACATGCCCCTAAGCCAATAATTCAACATAGGCCAGAGATGGGAAAAGAAGTTTCTTAGCCAAAGTGACAGTACCTCAATAATAATTGGCTTCCCATCTTTCATTGCCTTTTTCAAATCACCAGCCAAACCTAGAAGAAAATGCAATTTACCACAGATCAATGCTAAACGTGCTTCCAAACAGTAACAACCTACCTAATTATCTGCTGGTAATTATGTATCACCTTTCCGAACTATTCTGCATTCTCTACAAAACTCAGTAATCAGCTCCTCAGAAGAACTGAAGTCTCGTGCCCATATAGGAGATGATGTCAGAGGTGCACTGAGTATGAGACAGAACAAGCATTAAGCATTCTGGTATGATGCAACAAAAAGATAAGATACATCTGCAAATATTCATTGAAAATGACAATTGCTTGTGATTTTATAAATAGTACATGTGTAGATATACCTTGAGAATGACACTGGCTTGAATTATTAAAATAAGACAAATTCTTTTACATTTAATAGAGAAATAGTAATTCATATTACAAAATAGTTTCCGTTGCAACCTATTATTCATAAAGCCACCTTAATACAGAATCAATAAAGCCAAAAGAAAAATGGAAGTCTTACAGTGTTGAAGTTCTTGGATGTGGAATAGTGTTTTACTTGCGTAGCAAATCCACTAAAAAACTAATTCGCAGCGGGGCAGATGGTGGATATATAAAATGGATACCATGCATTTCAGCATGACCAACACTGTTAAACAGCAGATTTTACGAACAGAGTGTGCACCTGCCCACCTTAAATGACTATATAACACAACTATGCCTTCTTCACAAAAATCTGCCCACGATTTGCAAATCACCGAATATAGATTATTGTATGCACCATTTATCTAAACTAAATACACACAAAGCAAAATGAGACATGGAAAGCAATTCCACTAAAAACTTCTTTGGTCACAAATTCAAGAATTGTCACCCAACATCACACCGGTATGGTCAGCAACAGGAATCTGGTGCAACTAAAAGCGTCCTTCTTAGGCAAAGCAAGCTGGGAAAGGGCCAGAAGTGATAAATATTGTTCAAATTGTTGGAAAATGATGTCCCCACAGTTAGCAATTTTCTGCTTTTTAGTATTCACTATTTCACACTCACTGATTAATTTTATATCGGCTTCGGAATATGGCATCATCAATCAAGAAAACACTCTTGATAAGAAATTCTAGACTCGCAGAACTGCAAAGAGAGAACACACGCTGCTCCACTTCATATTTCGACAATGAAATATTTGTGACAAAATGACAAGTACATTAGATAAGAAGAAGAAAAGACATTAAGTTGGTTACATACTCTGTTGATGTGCGCAGCAATTCATAAACCATATCTGTCTGCAACATTAAGAAAAAGGTGTGTAAAAGGCATCAGTATAAAACTCAAAACCACAGAATAGAAAGTGCAGATGTGTGTGGCCAAGAGAGAGATACGAATATATGTAGGACAGGTTCACCTGCAAGACATTGGGCAAGTTTAGCCTTTGTGCAAGTTGGGTGGCAATGGTAGACTTTCCAACACAGGCAGTACCACATACAAGAATAACCAATGGCACCCTCTGATGGTGAAATCTAAAAATAAAGCAAAGAGGCGAAGCAGCTTTAGCAAACAATGCAGCATTTTGCACCCTTTATGCATCCTGTTTCATATTAAGTCAACAAACAAGCCTTTTTTCTAAAACGAACATAGGAATAAAGTGGGTTTGACCCTCTTAATAAGCTCAAAATCCATCTAAAGCTCAGCTACACCAGTATAATCAAAGCTCGAACTAGCTTTTCCCAACCCCAACTCGAATAGCACGGATCTTTTCTCAACCTACATGAAATGTCCAATTTTGAGCAACCAATAAAAGATTTCCATTGCTCAGTTATCAATGGATCATAACACGGATCTTGAACCATAAGAAACTGGCAACAATACTAACCACTCAAGCAAGGGTAGCAATTCTCAATTGGGAGAAAATATAGGAAAACAAGTGTGTGAAAAAACATATAGCAGGTCAATCAAAACAACATATACAACCCTTTTCCTTCCCTTCCCCAACAGTGTGTGTACTCATAAACAAGAGGAGCTCAATAGACTATATATAGATCTATATACTTGTGTCTATAATTTAATGGAGCAGTCAATATAGACAATAGTAATTTCTGTAGCAGGGCAAAGTCACAATTAAATACTCATAAATAGCTACTTGTCTTTTCATGAAACAACATCCAAAGGCAAAGAACCAACTCAAAAGATATAAAAAACGTGAAAAAGCAGTGATGATAATAATGATGAAAAAGAAGAAATAAAAACAAAATTCCTGACCTTGTCATCATCTTGTAACGATTTATATACTCTTCCCCATAACCCCGCCGTTCCATAAGCTGTAAATAGAGGAAATAAAGAGAGTTCACTTTGATCACAAAGATATCTAGACTTCAAGAGAAACTTTTACAGTAATGGTGGAATTATTCTACAGATGTCATGCAAAAGAACAAAATAAGTATAACTCTATGTAAAATGTAGTAAATCAACTTACTTCCACTTGAAAGACCTCTCCCCTAATTCTATTTGCATCAACCAGTGGAGGTGATTGGTGGAGCAGGTTATGGTTACAAGGGACAGTATAGAGTTGGACGTAATGATGACGATGTTCACAATAATTATTGGGTAATTACTGGATGATCAGCTGTTCATGATAAGTACAAATAGGAGATCCTGACAAGTCCAGGGCCTTCTTCTCAACTTAAGGTTGGGACTCGTGGGATTTGCAGAAAAAGAAATTATAACCTGCAGACTTCATCACACATGATAGGGTGCAAACACCCTGGGATAGAAATTCAAAGTTACCAACTGCCTTGACCTACCTATCCACCATCCATTCAAAATAACGTTGTTGGCCTTACACACCTAGCACCAACTCTAAGATGTGATCAAGACGGAATATGGCTAGTGTCTTGGATTCATGCTTCAGTAATATTCACCGACTATCTACCTTCCGAGAAAAAATATTCACTGACTATCCATCGTAAACAAAGATAAATTCAATGAGTATGAGGCTAACTTTAACATGTTTGGAAGAGGAGGCAAAGGTTTCATTTATAGCAGTCATAATCATGGTGAGTGTAAATAGGGAGTTTGAGACATAACCCCCCCCCACCAAAAAAATAATAATAATAATAATAATCTTAGTGAGTTTTCTCATTAACGACAAAATATCAATCACAACATGTACACTCTCTTCTTAAGTCATCATCACATACCATCCCTGTTAAACATGTTTGGGGCTAGTGTTTTTGTCCTGTAGTAGAATAAGATACACTATCCATTAAAACCATTGAATACGAAGACTTTTTGATCTAAAACACCCATGTGTACAAGTTTAGAAGTTTTCTCACTCCCACAAGGTCCAGATTATGCTTAGCCTCCAATGTCCCAACTGTACTGCACTAAAAAAGAATTGCCTGACATAGAAATTTGGGACAGCCAAGTTTTTCAATCTGTGGACACTGGATGGTTGGATTTAGTTGTTATATGCAAAATCACAATGTGCAATGTCCTACTATAATTAGCATATTAGAAAACACCCGGTATGATACTAAAATTCCCAAGAAGGTGAGACAGAGGCTTCATTTCTGTGTCAAATACAACTTAAAATTTTCACCTTTTAAGTCATGCAAAATTCAAATATTTCCCTGGATGGGATGCAGGTGGTGATGATCACCCCGGGCAATATGCTAGCACCCTCGGCCGGCACTAGGGAAAAAAAAGCAAGAAGGGAGATAGGAGAAGCCGGAGAATATGGTACCTTAAACAAATTAGCTTCTAAATCAGATTGAGAGCTGCAAAATAGGAAATATATAAATTAATGAAACATCAACAAGCTGATCGTGAAAAGGAATTTGAAAGGAAATTTACTCATCAAAAAAATTAAAGGCAAAAGAAAAATTGCTAAAAAGAAAACCATGATATATGATCACTTACACATCCAGAAGGCTATTGTCTATAAGCAGCTTTTTGAGTTCAAGAGCAATTTTAATAGCCACATGTGTAGGAATCTGGAAGCAAATAGCTGCTATGAGTAACTTCAAACTTTCAAAGTGCTTTCAGTTAAATGGCAAAGAAGCATACGAAACATTAAATATTGAAATAAATCTCAATTAACAAAGTAATCAATATAAAGATGTCCAAGACGCCTCTGAACATTTCTTTATGTGGTACAACATGATGAGGTGGCTCCGCCAAGATGCATACTTAGGTAAAGAAATGTAACAACCTATTTAATTCACCACGCACCTTGAACAGTATGTAATATTGATACTTAAATGCTTTACATGCAAATATATAAGAAACCTGCATTGAGATGCTATAATAGACGTTTAAATGATACGTTCTTAATTTCTTAACTGGCAACCCATGTCACCACAGATTTGTTGCTATTTGAATAAGATTGTCTGAAATATCATTCAATTACAACAGATTGAATTGGAGCCTGTCTTCTTTTTCATTGAAATTTCTATGTACATGTAACTCCTTGGTCATAAAGTTTATGTCTAATAGAAAAGGATCCGTTGGTTCTGGTCCCAAAATATTGATTTATCCATCAACCATCCCAATCACTGGGAAATATTATACAGCAACATCCTCACAAAAAATCACCGTAATGTAAAATGGTTGTGAATGTATCCATATAGGCGTGTATTATGTGGAACGAGTATATCTAGCAATGTGCATGATGAATATTTAACTGAAGAGAGACTTCCAAAACCCTACTTTTAAAGGACTGAATATACTCAACCAATTCCCTCAATATCAAACAAATGTCCCTCGCGGACATGAAGTTACCTCGCTAATTAAAATCAAGACTGCCATTTGTCAAGGAACCATGGTGCAATGCAATGAGAGACAAACTGAAGCTAGCCCCCTATGGCATGAAACATGGGTGCAGGGACAGAGCCAAAAACGTGGGGTAGTGGGGGCAAAAATGTTAGCAACAACAATACTATATGTACTAAATTTGAAAAACTAATGCATTACTACTGTTGGATTAACAAATAAAAATGCATTGAATGTTGATATTCTGTGCTAATGATGACAGTACAGTAGATTATCAGATTAGCCTTCCAATTATATGTCAGTAACATTTTTTTTAACAAAAGTAAAATTTAAAATTTTGAAGTAATAATAAATTAAGAGAGGTGGCCCAACGTGTGGCTCTGCTCTGGCGTAATGTGTACATACTCTTCTTCTGCATGTGAGAGAGTATTTTTTTGCGCCTTGAATCCTTCAAATTTAAGTTATAATAGAGCAACCTTACTTTTATCATTTTATTAACTAATTTTTATATTATAGAAATATTGCATAATAATATTATTATTCGATGTATCAAAATTACTAAATGTGAGAGTAAAGGGCCAAGATACAGGGGAGAGAACGAAAAGCTTCAAAATTCCTGGAACACATGATGAAAGATTCAACTAAATAACCAATGATCAAGTTTACTTAATCTGAGTAAATAAATGTAATCTTAATGTTAGAAATTATTAAGTAAATTAAAATGTATGATATTTTTTAGTGGCGAAAATTTAATATATATTAAAATTTATATAAAAAATTGTTTGGAAAAAAAAAATTGAGTAGGGATGTGTAGCTCCGCCCCTGCATGGGTGGGAATGCCTACCTCAAGTCTAATTGCAAAAGGAAATTCAATGTCACAAAACCGATGCATAGTTAGTTACCTCACTGGAAAGTAATTAAACAAAACAATCATTTAATTTAAAAACCCTAATGAAGTTCAAAAAAGGCCTCACATTAATCCTTTTTTTTTTTTGTTTTTTTGACAGTCCTAAGGTATACACAATTATACAAACGGAATCGGACTGGAACGGAAGGTGTTATAAGTGAACCTTAGTGACAGTTAACATTCGGCTAAGCAAAAATCTGGAGAGAACGTAGTAGTGATCCGCATTATCACCCAACCATACTTTCACCTGAAACAACACCCACAACACAGATAAAAACAACTCTGTTGATGGGGATTCAGTTTAATTTTGGGGTCGAATTGTTTTGTTTGAGGCGGGATTGATTTGATTAGAGTAGTAGAAGACCTTGACGAAATCGTATTTGGAGGAAGCGTTTCGAGAAGAGAATCTGACAGCTGGTAGAGCAGATTTTGTTTGTTTCTCTTCTTCTTCTTCTTCTTCTTCTTCATCCTCTGTGTTCCTAAATTCTTCGACATTGCTGCTAGGACTTGCAATTGCCACTCCCTTCTCCTTCTTCATATCTCTATCTATCGCCCTCAATCTGTTTGCCGTTTTGCCTCGCAGAACAGTAGTGATCAGTGAAACGGAGAGAGAGAACGATGGGTGAGAATTGGGGAAACGTAGTTCCCTAAGAAAACGAGAAAGATAGATAATCTAAAAAGGAATGGGTCGGAGTGGGGGGTGGGAGAGAGATTTTGCACCGAATTTCTGCCCCATTTTGCCGCTGTGCGGGTTTCTAAAATTCCATTGCTTTACTTTCTCTTTAATGATTTAGCTCCGTCTATGATCGGCATCAAATTTCTTTGATATTCGAAGGCATTAACTAAAAAGCTTAACGGTTGAAATATTACTTATCTAAACAATGCAAAATAGAATCCCTTGAGGGCAACTGACAAACCTTTGCCAAAATCAAGGAAACCTTTTTTGACTGCCATCCAATGGGGCGAAGAAGATAAGGAAACAAAATTTGGTCTTTTGCTGATAAAATAATCGAGTTGTTCACTTGCTATAGCACTTCACCCTACCCTGAAGGTAGAGAGAGATAGCCATCACCTCTAAAAAAGAGTTGTATTCAACCCAATTCAATTTTAAAATTTGGTTAATAAACGGGTTGAATCCAAATAATAATTTGTTCGGTTGGTTTCTTATTGTATACTTGAACATAATATTAGTATATATCATTTATGGATCTAGATCACGTGTTTGACGGATTATCTATCATTATTGCTTAATGAACCCATTTCTATATAACGACTTATACTTAAATAAACGATAAATGACCGTCAAAAATCAGAAATTTAAAAAATATATATTAAAGAGAGTCTCACCGTGCTATTTGTGAAGCATCTACCTAAAAAAGACCAAACTTTATCTTGAATGCAGTCATATTTCTTGAACGTAGAGTTTATATCACTTTGTTTAGTCAAGTGAGACGAGTCGTATCGAGCTTAGCCCAAGTTTGGTAGGAAGAAAAATAGGATAAATTGTATTGCAAGTCACTAAAATATGTAATTTGTTTTATTTTGATTCTGAATATTTTAATTGTATCATTTTAGTTGTTTAAATATAGAATATTTTTTTATTTGATCCCCCAAGCAAACAACATCTAAATTATTAACAGTTTTTTTATCATAAACTTGTCACGAAAAACGTAAATATGAGTAAAAAATAATTTGGATAACACTTGACCAATATTTGAATAGCTCTTGGCAAAATATGTATAATATGAGTAATTCTTGACCAAAATTTGGATAATTCATGATTAAAATTGTGTAATTTAGATAGAACATCTTCTTATTGACTCTTTGAAATACCTTCATCAACTCTTTAAAGCTCACCCTCAACGTCACAAAGTTTTCTTTGTGCAGATAAAAGTAGAGAATCCATTGCTCCTCCCGTCTTTTTCGGCAAATGTGTTCAAATAAAGAACTAACAACATGAGTGATGGTTGGCTACAAAGTTGGATAGGAAGTTCAACTAATCTCAAAATACTGGTTTAGTTATGTTTTTCTGTGTTAAATTGGCTCATGTGTTGTGAGAGGTCCTGGGCAGGCTGGGCTAACATGTTTACAAAAGTGAAACCCTACCCTTGTATTAGAACGTATGAAAAATTCAGTCTCCTTCTATCAACATACTAGTTAAATACTTAAAACAAGCAAGAGAATGATCACGTAGTAATGTTACAGTACAATACCGGCGAGAGCTTTAGCAGTTGCCGAGTATATCATCCAAGTGTACAACATAGAAACCCAGATCCTATGCATCAAGCAGTGACTTCCAATCTTGCGGCTTCTTGAAAAATCTTCCTCTTTTTCCCATGCCAGTCCCCGGGAGACTTGCTGAAAGAAGTGATTTGGTATCTGGCCTCCATTTCAGATCTTTCAGAGCAGAAAACAGGGTCGAAAGCGTGGGAGTTACTTCCATGTCCTTTATATGCTTACATGATATCACTTTCAGGCTATCAAGCTCCTTCCAGGACAGAATGACAGACTCCAGACCACCTGTTGTTATCAATGAGCAGCCTTCTAGAGAGAGCAATTTTACCCTCCTGTGAGAAAAGTCGCACGAATTAAACTTCCAATCCAAGAAGTTCTAAATGTTGATGAACACTAGATGTATACCACCAGTTCCAAGTCATTGTAAGAAATTGATGCATTTTAACTTTGCTTCCTTGTCATAGTTAAACTCTAGCTTGTTGAATAACTAGCAACAGCTATGCTGAGAGCCAGGTGACCTCCAATTACTATGTGACTCCAACTTTTTACTAAGCTTATTGTGTTGTCATGAGCAAACAGCTTTTCATCAAACCTAACCTTGAAACATACTTACTGCTTTGTTACAGTCTGCGGTCAGCAAGCATTGCTTCAGGGGTATGTTTCCATCGAAAGTATAGTACTTTATTTGTTTTGAATTTCAGTCATTGGGTTATTAATAAGGTTTCGAAATAATCACTAACATTTGTTCATGCTGAATGTTGATAAATTTTGGGGGGGAAAATCCTTAATGGAATGCTTATAGGAAAGAAGAAGGTTAAATTGACAGATTCCTCCCTCATCTAAGCATGTGAAAACTGAATCTGATGGCCTTCTTGGGCTAGAAAGTGATCAACAACCTAGGAAGAAGCTCAACTATTTTGCCTAACATAGGATGGTGTTAAGCTGGCAATTTACAGAGGAGCTTCTCCAAAATTTTATAGCAATATAGAGCACATACAATAGCTTTCCCAATAGATTTTACAGGTAGAGTAATGCTGAAACCGATTAAAAGTGCCAAACTTTTGAATTTACTATTAAAAAGTATTGTCTTACGCAAATGTTTGCTGAAAGTCTGCCAAAAATGTAATCTCATCAAGAAATTTAGAACATACAAATAAGAGAGGGCAATGCAAGCATATAAACACAGTAAGAGAATCCAATAACTCAAGTAGAATGGGAGAACCCTGCAAAAGTTTGGCACAATAAAAAGAAACAAAAAGAGAAGAGAATCCAATACCTGCAAATACTTGCACTGTTGAACATATCATCATCTACTCCCCAGCAGTTCTGGTATACAATCTCCCTTACAGCTTGACATACAAAAAACAATGCTCTCACACTCTGCTTATCCCTTAATTGGCACCTTTCTAAATGTAATCGTTCGAGTGTTGGACAAAAACCCAAATGCTCATCAGGTCCTGGATAACGATCAATACTCTTACACGATAAAAACCTCAAAGTCTTCAAATTTTCACTGTACGAAAGAGCCGACAGCCACCCATCTTCCATCCTATGATCACAAAGAGTCAACTCTTCAAGCATTTGACAACACTGCCCAATTGCCTTGATCCCATCATAGCTCCCCTCACATCCACTCAGCTCAAGCCTCACCAGCCTCTTACACCCTTGGGCCAATATAGTCAATCCAATATCTGACACCAAAGAACTATAAAACCCATCAACATTTCCAATCAGTTTCAATATCTGTAAATTTTGAAATGCCGCAATACCGCGCAGAACTTGATCAGTGCATCTATGCAATTCCAATTCTTGTAATGTGGGAGATTCCTCAGCCACACTCAACAACCCCAATTCACTGGCATTAAAAACTACAAGTTTTCGCAGATTGGGACACCCACTAGCTAATACTTTCAAACCCAAATCAATTTCATCAACTGGTGTAATAAGTTTATCGGAAACAAAACCTTTAGGTTCAAAATTGGAATCAATGTGTAAAGACAATAGCTTATTAGTTAACAAAATACCAGAATTTCGTGGCGAAATCACAGAACCATTAACAAGGTCAACATGGATGAGATTTGGGAATCGAACAAATAAACGACCCGAAATGAGAAAATTCCAATCAAGAAGCTTTAAAGATCTTACAAGTCGGCCTTGAATATTTAACCACCGTTTGGATACGAGGGAGTTTGAGTTCCTCTGCGACTTTGGGAGTTTTGAGAGGATATGAAGAAGAATTTCGTCGGAGAGGAGAGAAGTTCGATCGGAGACGAGTGTCGGGTGATTGAAATCTAGGGTTTTGTTGGGTTGAGGAGTAAGAGTGGATTGGTTGTGTTGTTTAGTGAGAGCTTGGAGGTGCATAGTGAAGAGTACATGGTTGAAAGCTTTCTTGTTCTTGACCCAGAGGTTTGACCAGCTTGGAGGTCTCTTCAATGGAGAATCAAGGTTTGGTTTTTCTGGTGAAGAAGACATCGCTTTAATCGTACTTGTCTTCTTCCTAGAGAGGCCTCTATTTTTTCTCTGGTTCTTCTACTCTGCATCACCTCATTCTCTCTCTCCTACCCTCTGTAATTCGTCTTCTCTCTGAAACTTCTGTCTCGTCCTATCTCTCTCCTACCAAGTTGTCTCTCTGTTCAAGTTTTCCCTCTACTCTGAATTTTCTTCTCCCTCCCTGGACTACAAGTTGTTTCACTCTCTACATTCTCACACCAGCTCTTGTCTTTGTTCTTTGGGCTAACGGACTTCTGTGGGTGGGGGCCACGCACAGGACTAAATAAGAATTTGAATTGGTTTTTAGTGTTACACTATTTCCAAACTTTTCCATATCATAATAAAAATTTATTTATGGATCAAAACCTTCAATAAAATTAATTATTATAATTATAAGTCTATTTTTTAAATTCATGTAACATTGCTATTCATAAAATAATAATGTCAAAACTTGCAAAAGAAAATTTCCTCTCGTATGGGAATTAATCTTACCAAAATAAAACTCCATTAATTTTGCATACACTAATGTGATTATACTTGTAATGTCATCCTTCCTTCACGAGTCTTATATCATAAAACAATAAAAAAATATTTTTCTTTTTAAGAAAAAAACGACTATTTTGAGAGGTGGACAAAAGCATTACGATATATTTGGGTATCTCTTAATTTATTCATTTGACTAACCATTTTAGAATGTCACACCAATAAATAAAGTAAAATTTGTTTCTCATATGACTTAGTTAAAAAAAAAACATCAAGATTAGTTCACACATCTTCTAAGTGAGAGATTTGTGCTTTAAACTTTACAAGATTTAACGCTTACACCGATTATGTTATAACAATAATCTTCTAAATTCAATTTGAAATAATGCCATAAATTTCACAAAACATCTTTAGGTCAAATAAACATTAAAATTTGATGTTAATCCAATAATTCCAATCAACAAATTATGTCAAATTTTTAAATTTAAATAATATTACTCCTGAAAATTTGTTAGAAATATATGATCTCCTAATAGCTTCACAAGTTGGTTTGACTTTGGACTCGCAAAAGATGCCCCCGTGAAAATAAATGGGAGTTAGAGTCTTATTTCAATTTTGTGGCTACAATAACCAAAATATAAAAAAAGTTAATATCACTTTACATCATGAAAGATATTCTATTTCTCACCGTTAAAAAAATAAAATTTTAAATTACACCCTTAATGTTATAAAACAGATGCAATACAACCCCATTTCAAACTCTAATTGGACCGTCAATCTTAAATTTCACCCTCCAATTAGCCTACCATTGCATTTATTTTATTACATTAAGTGTACAATTTGATAATTCAATTCTTTAAATGTGTAAATTAAGAATTAGTAGAATAATGTTCAGAGTCCAAAGTAAGATTAACCCTAAAAACAAGAGGTCTGTAACTGTAATGCCGACTCATATAGCCGTTTCACAATTCAAAGTTGCTCTTAAAGTGGGTACAAGACCCTTAAAACACAGCTTTTGGCAAAAAATTTCCCCCACTTTGGGACCCAAATCGTCCGGAATCTCAATGAATAAAACAATAATAAATGAACAATATAGATCAATTTTTGGGACTTATAAATCTGCCATCGGGAGTGTTGGGATTTTCAAAAAGTTAAATTTTGGAACTTAAGTGAGACAAGCCTCCAGTACCCTAAATCACGTGCCAGACACGATGTTTCATATCTCTCTCTCTCACTCACACATTTACTGTAATGAGATTAGAAATTAATACCCATTAGGACTAACCCAAATAACCTCTCAATGGAGGCATGTCTTGTGGTGTTCTCACTTTCAACTCCCCAGTTACTACTAATGAAACTTTTCCTCTGGAATTTAAGCATAAGGAAGAATGTAAAGGAATATTTTAATGGATGATTCAGTCAAATTTGGATATAGTCTAATGCATTATCTTCTAATTTTTCTTGATAATAAATGACCTCTATGAATCCAAGACTTCACTCTATGTAAGTAAATCTCCTATCAATCTATAGGAAGTGAGTTAAATTATAGGCACTATGGTAGTTAAGGTTATGATATTGTACTCTTTATAACAGTGAGGATGATAGCCTCTCCCACATTCTTTTAAGATAGAACAAATACCAACGTGAGTCTCCATAAACCCACAACAAATGGAAGGGAGCTAAACCAAGCTGAGACACTAGGAGTAAGCTCATCCCATATATCAAGTTGAATAAATGAATGCAACCTCAACCAGAGAGATCAACTTGCGCCTTTGATTTTAGACCGCTAGCGGAGCTAAACAAACTAATCCGTGGTCAACAAGTTTTCCAAAATCAAACTGAATGAAATTGTTACTTTCCAAAAATCTTATTAAAAATCAAAGAAAAAACAGTCCATTTTCCCACATAGTTGGCCAAAGCAACGATTCTCGTCATTGTCACAAGTAATAAATACCCTACAGAATTTTATACACAGGACCCGAGTAAAATTATGCCAGTGCCCACCACATATAAAGGAAATACAAAGTAGAAGCACATTGTAACCCGGCCACAAATGCTTTGGAATGACAAGATAGATAATAATGTAAATATAACATAAGTAAATATAACATAGCAGGTAAATATTTGATAGCAGTCATATGATACAAAGACAAATTAAACATAGGAGGATACACTTCTGATGAGAAAAAGACCCAACTCTTGCAAACAAGGTTCATTATCATGAACGAGGCGCAGCCATCTGCTGCTTCTTTATCCTCTCATCCTGTTTTACCATGCTGAATCGAAAGCATCGGAAGTCAGATATATCATTCATCAGTTGCAAAAAAAATTTATCATATGACTGCTATCAAATAGTTAGCAAGAGAAACTCATTACCAATACCTACAGCCAAAATGACAACATTTCCATTTCGTAAAGGGCGTACGAGAAAAGTTAATTCTTGCAAAAGGTTACCTGATATCATGAGGGGTGATAAAAATCCATTGGGATCCTTGTGCCAGTGCAAAATCCACAATAGTGTCGAGGCTGATTTTTCTGCTGACAGCATCCTGCATATCGAAGAGAAAGCAAAGAGTGGTTGGAGGCATTCATTTGTTTACCATTTTGTAAAAGATAATCAACATCCCGCCAAGAACTTACCATAAATACATCAAACTCGTCCATTGCACGAAATGGAGCCTCTGTCATCTCATGAAGAGCTAGTGCAAAGCATAATGTTGAAAAAGAACGTTCTCCACCTGATTAAACATCAATGACAAGTACAGATGCTGTGTATAAGTCACCAAAATAATTATTTAAGTCGATTTTAGCAGGTCCTTTGTGTATACAACTCCATTACATCTAGCTCAGGCTCACTAGCCTAGCGAGTTAATTGCAGAGCTGGCCTGAACAGAGTTCATATGGCCAAAAATATGACCTCAAGCTCAGCTTGAGCACATTCAAAACTGCCAAATGAACTTGAACACATATACTCAACTCGACTCCATTTGCAGCCCTAATATTTTCATTTTTTCTTCGGTTTTTCCCATTGAGAACAACGCTCCAATTGCCCCCTCCTTTTCTCCTTAGCTTGGTCTTTGAAATTCCCTTAAATTAATAATTGACCATTCTATATCTTCCATGCTGACCAAACCATCAATAATCAATCTATATTAAGCCTGGAAAGTTTGCAAAAGCATATGCAGGTTGCATAGTCCTAGTTTAAAAGCTTAATGAGTCCAGAAAAGGGAACCTGAAAGCCCCCTGGTGTCCCGAACAGTGCTGCTCGATGAATCTTGAGGCATCTTTACCTGAAAAATGGAAAAAAAAATCCAGATTCACAACTGAGTTATCCATGTGACTTGGGGCAAGATACATGTAGCAAATTATTCTCATTGTACTCAGAAGACAAACAACTAAATCCACAGGAGCATCCTATATTGATGCAAGTTCATTTACCTCTACTGAGAGGGTTTCGGCTTCGTAACAAACTTTAATGTGCCCACTGATCCCTTTCTTTCTCAAATGGCCATTAAATCTAATACACACATTTGTTAATAAGAAATCTGTACATCTGAGAAAATAGGAATACTTCCTTTTCAATAGAAAAAAGAAGGGCAGAATCTGAATGATATGGTAAAGTGAACTGCAAAGAGAACAGATCGTACTGCCAAGTTAACTGGCGCTTCAAAAGAGTTGCATTCCTTTGAAACTTGCTCCGGCGCAATTCTAGGGCTTTTTGGCATGCCTGAAACCACATTGAAAGAGAAAGGAAACAAAATCCTCCATAAGAAGAACCAAACAAGAAAAATGCCAATTCAGGGAAGGACCTCCATACAACATATCTAAAACAAGGATGAGGAGCAAATAATGGCCAGAAACATATGGAGCAATTTAACTTACAGAAGAAAAAAAGCAAAGCATGATGTCCAATTATTAACTAAAAAATATGGAAAAGGATACAGAATCCTGACCCAAAATAAGAGAACTAGATTAAAAATCAGATATTCAGATATCAATAGGGAAGTGATACTTGTCATACTGCCCTTCTTTTTTTTTTTGGGGGGGGGGAAGGGAGGACTTGAACTCTTGACCTAAAGAAGGCAACGTCTTTACAAGACAAGGAGTATCATTAAACTAAAGGCTCATTGGTCATTTTGCACTTGGTCCCCTATATACAAGTAACAATATAAACTGAATTTGCTCATATAAAGTGACCTGGATTGCCAAAAAATAAAAAGGTGAAGAAAGTCATTGCACATTATTTTTGTTTAAATGTAGTGTTTGTTACTACCTAAATTTTGACTTGACCAACATTCCAAAGTTGCCATTCATGCTAACTTATGAGCAAAATTGGTTACAAATAATCAGCCTTATACCGTTGCAGATATTGAAATATGACCATATATTACATTCACGTGCAACCAATAAATTCAGAACAGAACCCAAAAGAAATATTAAGACAGCTTCTTGCGGAATTCAGCCAACCCCACATGTTATCTGAGGATTCCAGAGTGAGCATTAGCAAGATATATCCACGGAGGGATCAGGATTATTCTATTCAGTAATTTTAAACACAAGGCTTGACCAAAGACTAAGCAAATACGACTGGATATTTTGTCCTTAAAAACTTTGAAGCAAAAAGCAAGAAGGGATGGTTAACTTACACTCAATTTCTCTCTAAATGCTTTGTAAGTTTGCTGTTTTCTTAAAATTTTACGCTCTTTCTTCTCGTACAACATTCTGAGATCATCAATAGGTTCTGGATATCTGCGAAGGACCTTTTCACATAAAACTTACATACGCATGTTGTCCGAATAAGATAAGTGGAAAACACATCACATCCATACCTCTGGCTCTCATGCTGAAGTCTTTGATTTAGCCTACTTAATTGAGCACTGAGTTGTTCTGGGGTGCTCCCAGCACAGCCGCCCAAAGCGTCAATCTCACTCTCAGGACATATAATAGAAGCCTTCTTGTAACTCTCCTGCAATACCATCATGGAGTCAACATCAAGTAGTTTTAGACGCCAACTCATAGTACATTGAGTTTTATTTTTTAGCAGAAAAAACTAATATTCATGAGAGGGACGTAAAGATGAAGACAGCTACAACTACTGATAGTATGGTCAAAATGAAAGGAAACCATGAATTTTGAAGGAAGCAACACAAGCATGCAGCACAGGTATATATATGAACCTACAGCATGGCAACAATAAGGCCTGTTAAAAATTTCGCAGAAGTTCACGAGTGTCTGGTAGAAATCAGTTCAACCTAGAAGTGATAGAATTGATTTAATATGACTATTATCATGCACACAAATAGAGAGAGAGAAGGGGTTGATCACCAATATGACTATAATCACGCACACAAACACAGATAGAAGGGATTTTCCTTCTTTTTCCTTTTCTTCTTCTCTGTGTGCGTGTTTTGTTTTGTTTTTTTTTTTTTGGGGGGAGGGCATGCAAGTGACATTTTTTAACAGAGGATGAGGGTAGGGGCTAATCCAATCATTATAACATAATACATCAAACAGAAGCGTATTATTCAAAGCAATTACATGTAAATGTATATGTAAACGATGATCTCAAATGAACCTTACGACTGTGTTCAAGCTCCTGATATTGTGACTCAGCACCTTTGATATCAGCAATGACTTTTGTATTCATAACACCCTCATAATGATTCTTCTCCTGTAAAAGAGTTTGTTTTCATACTTAAACAAAGCTGCAGAAGCAAAAAATAATAGCAATAGAACGGAGTATGAACTTCACAAAAAAAATAAAAATAAAATAAAACTCGAAAAGTAAGCAGAGCAAAAGAGGGGAACCGCTTCTGCAGAATGTAGATCTTCTTCTATCAGCATCAGCTCACGCTCTGCTTTCTCAAAGGCATCAATCTCTGCTTTCGCTGACTCTATACTTTGAGCATGGAGACACATAACTATGTAGACTAAGAGACATGCACAAGTCATGTTTAATTTCAGAAACAAGATTAACATACCACATAGATTTTCGAACGAAAGTTTAAGATCATTGGCCTTGGTTTCTGCTTCATTTAATCTGACTCTGAACTTTTCTAACAAAATATCCTTTTCCTTAATCTCATCTTGAGCTTTCTGGATATCATTTGCAAAATATAAGTAAACTTAAAAGAGAATGCACTTCGTATAGCCAAGAACAAACCAAAACTCTACAAGCAGCTTAACCAAAAAGCAAAGAGATAAAAATAAAAACAAAAGAAAGAAAAAGGAAAGTCTGAGGAGACATGGGGATGAGGAACAGACAGAAATTTCTTGTTGAAGTTCGTCCACCGTAGATGCAGGTGCAGGACTAGCTTCTGCGACATACGACTTCTTCACATCTTGCAGTGCGAATTCCCTAGACCTCAAATTCCGCTCTACCTGGAAACGCCTTCTCTATACAAAGTAAAGCAATAGATTAGAACAGCAATATCATACTTGCAAATAGGTACCCCAATTTCCTAAGAGTAGTGTAAAACAATCTCTATTTTATGCGTATCAATATAGTACAGTAGCACATAAAAATTCCAGTAAATTTTAAAACATTGGCAAAACCATGTTTACTTTCAATGAAACAACAGGCAAACATAGACAATACTAGACAACCAAAATTCCCTCAACACTTTTGAACACCACTTTCACACCTTACACCTATATTTACATGACACTGCCTTTCATCACAAGCTCTCTTCCTACAGCTAATCTCCCAAACCAATCGCCTAGAAAAGCTTAGTTATTGATGGTAATCGAACCCTGAAGCAAACCTGGCTCAAAGAAGACTTTGAAGTTGTTCCAACTTCCAGGCTACAATCAACCAATAGAAAGAATACATGAAAAGGCATGCACAAATTTGGGAGACATTGATACTTACAACAAAATTGAGCTCTGTCTTCCACAAAGATTTCCCGGTATTTTTGGAGTTATGATGGTAGATATTTTGAATTGCATGTATCCTACTGCCTGTCTGGAAATTATTGTCACTAACCAACCCAAGGGATAAAATCTTAAAAATCCCTACTCAAGAACTATAGCCAACCAGAGCATTGTAGAATCTTATGTCAATCTTTAAGCATTTCCCTTTATCATTATAGTGCCTTAAACTTGATGCATTTAGAAGTCTATTGTAGTTTATGGTCCAAATCCTTGGAATCAAAGATAACTAAATGACCAATCATTAGCAAGTCTCAAGTTTCTCATCTAAATCTCACATAATCTTATAGCTCAGGCTAGTTATCGTATAGCAAGTCTAAGATAGTAAGTTGGTTGGACACTATTACAGTCCAAGAAGCACGAACACAGACACGAGACACATATACAACACGACACGGACATGCAGACCCAACATTTCTAAAAAAAGTAGGATACAAACACGTTAGAGATACACTACAAAAAATTATATTTTATATATAACATTATATAATTTATCGTAAATATAGTAATAATGATATGTAATTCATAAAAGATTCAGTATTTTATGATAAATAAATCTTATGTGTAGTCATTTATGTAAATTTTTAGACTAAAACATCATCATAATAGTCATAATCATCAAATTTATTTGTAGACAATGTATACCTAATGTATTATTTAAATAATTGCTCTTATTTTCTCAATTCTTCTTTCTTTTAAACTTTTATGTATCTTTTGTTTTTATTATTATATTTGAAATATAACATTAACATGTCTAGTATTAGTAATTATATGTTTTCAAAATTTTAAACTTTGTAATCACATTTTTATTGTTTAGTAGTCGACATATTCTAAAGAAATGTCGGACACGTCATCAAAGAAGTGTCGAACAAATGCCTGAAATTAAAAAAATTTCAGTTAATTATGGACACGAATAAAAGAATATCGGACATAAGTTCGAGAGTGTCGATATCTGACACATGTATGACACGGATACGTTACCTTCTCAAGAGTATTCGTGCTTCATAGGTTACAGCTTAACCAAGCTCCAGAAAACTATATAATGTCCTTAAAGCCTATATCAATTATATATACATGGGAGAATGCTAATACCCTTACTAGAATGTGACATTGGGCCTCTCTTTTTTAAAAATATAATTTAAAAAAATTAATTTTTTTTTGAAACCTAGGTCTACTAGACCTAGAACATTGGCCCTATCTACCAAATTTTCAGCTATAAATGACTAAATGGGAGAACAACATTTTTATGGTTATAGCAAGTTTTTCTTTTCGGTCTTTTCCTTCTTTGGATTTTTCAATTACTATTCATTTTCTTCTCCATCAATCAACAGAGTAAACTTCTCTAAAAAGTTGAAAATACCTAAAGCATCCAAGGTTTCAAACCACAAATTTCAGGCAATAGCAGCCAGTAATTCTATGGTGTTTGGGTCTACAACAATATTTCTTGTATTGTGGGTTGGTAAGTGGTCCGGTATTTCCTCCGACACCAAGAGCAATGGAGTAGACATGGACATTGTTTTGCGTCTCAGTCCGCTTTGTATCTTTTATTTGAATCGCTTTCACTAATATAGAAAATCAAGTGTTTAGATGTCCATTCATACAAAATCAACTAAAATTTTGAATATTTGTGATTGAGTGCCAAAGCAAATGTTCATTCAGAACAACACACTGCCTAACGGTTTTAAAAAGTTTAAAATAAAGATTACATATTTGCACCCAACTCAACTCATCAAAGTCTTAATCCCAACTATTTGGGGTCGGTTACATATTTGTATTCTTAAAAAAAAAAACAACTCACGACACATCAAAATATAAGTTTGAATATCACCTACATAAAGAATAAAGTACCAAGAGGTGATTATGCAAAATTTTGGGATTAATTGGATCGTGGGCCGATTAGGGATTACGGTTATAATTTCAGGTTAGGAAATTAAGACCTCGGTCACGAAGCCACCTCATTTGGGATGGCGCAATCCAAGATCATGGGATATCTAAGATCCCTGTGATCATGATATCCATGGTTTACAATTAATTTGCAGGCAGCGGTCCGGGTTAAGCTTATGAACCTCACGGTGGTCGTAGATAGTAATCATTGGCCTAACAGATGAAATCTTAATAGACCAATGTGGTGCCAGCTACGGTCAACTGCGCTGGTTGCCAGGGGTGTGGGTGAAGTGTGATTGTGGGAAGGATGTTTAAGAAGTGTTTGGGAAGATTGCTGATTTTGGAGAGGACATGAGAGGGTATGAAGATAACCTCTTGGCAACTGATTAGTAACGGGTGGGGCAGAGATGACAAAATAACTTTAAATGACCTAAATACCTCTTAAAATATGCCAAGGCAAGAAAATTGATTGGGAAAATTTAGTCCATAGAACTTGATTACGTTGCTAGTATTACTCACTAACAAGAGACATTAGCAAGCCCCATATTATACATGGAAGTCTGTGAATAAGCTTAGCTTTACCTAAAATAAACACTGCATGAAAAGTAATAAGCACCCAACTGGCACAACGTTGTATACAACACTACCAGTGAGTGCACAAAGAAAGTCTGACACCATTTAACTGAAAATAGAACAATACCATGCTAAAGAAAGGGGGAGAAGATAAGGTACTCCCAGTCTGAAAGCCCACTCTTAGTAATGATTTAGGAGAAAAGACAGTTATTACCTTCACACTTTTTAGTTTCTCGTCAAGATCCCGAAATTCTTCCTCCACAATCCTTTTCTTTCCCCGATTCCGTTGACATTGTTCATGTGTGTTTAATGCCTCTCTTTCAAAATTCTTAATTTGATCATCATATGAACTACAGAGACGACCAGTCCTCACATTCTTATTTGGTGGAAGAATGGTCTGGGCTGAACCACGGGAAAACCTATACAGGCATCATTCATAAATCATTGTTAACTGCATTTAGCTGGTATAAAGAAACTAAAACTCAAAATAGAGGAGAAGTGAAAACTATAATTCATGGCCAATAAACAAAATGCATGCATAAGAACCAGTTTGATTATCAAAATCCCTTTACAAGTCAAACAGCTAACTCATAACCATAAAACTATGTTAAAATCATTACCACCATACAGAAGAAGTCAGGTTTTGCATCAACTGATTAGCTCTTAATACTAATAAAATGGAATTAAAGTAATGTTATTATGCTCCGTTGACATCTTGTTTTACACCTGATTTTGTAGTTTAAATGTGACCTTTATTTATTCTCCTGCCATCATGAGATCCCTATCCACTAGAGAACCTTTTGATCTTTATCCAACTTTTAAGTTCTGCAAAACCATTGACTGATATTGCCTTCACATAATTAGAGGAAGACAATATATAAATCCGAAAGAATTTATTGCTAGATTATTTGTGTTTTGGGCCATTCTACATGATGCTTTTTACTGTAAACCAGTTAATTCAAAATGATCTGAGTTCAATTGACAGCAATTAGGAAAACTAGTTGTCACCTAGGCCTAAGGCTTTAGAACCCCCATAATTATCACGGAACAATAAAATGGATGCACTGAAGGTGACTCGTCAGTCATATACAGGTCCCCATAATTCATATATAACTAAATTTTTTGAACTTGGCAATTTTAAAGAGCTAAGAGATTCTAATGCCCCAATCAGCTTTGGTTGAAATTTATGCAATTAACCATTTCAGCTGCTCTTTTTATGGGTACAGTTGATCCAAAAAAGGAACTACCTTTTGCTAGGTAACCGTCCACTTTAATTTAAGAAATTAGTGAGCATTACCCTTCACGTGATCCAATCCAAAGGCTGTTAAATGTTTACAGAAGGCAATCAACTCGATCACATTAAATAGCTTAGAATTTACATGACGGCCATCAAACGTAATGTAAAATCTGACACAGAATAAACTTGAAAAGAGGCCCCTTTTGGAGAAAATTTATAAAGCAGCTTCTAAAGCTTCGGGTTCCAGATATAGCACTGGTAAGCAGAGAATCACATCATCCATAAGGGTCTACTGTAATAGTTATTATCTTGCTTTTCGAGCCTATTTTTGATAAAATGACAAATGAGATCTCAACTCCCAAAACTAGGGCCAAGCTACCACAGTTTCTGGTGTTAGATCATCAAATTAATTTGTCAGTGTTTTGACTTATTATCACCAAATATAATTCTATCGATATTGACATATTTTTTACCTTTTCTGCAAGTCAAGTATCAATAACACTGTTATGAACATACTTGACATTGTTTTACCACCAAAACATTCATGCAATCTTCACTGTTTTTACTTATTACTCAACTTTTTTACTGTTCAGTCTAAATTTCTGAAGGTTCTACACAATTCCATAGAAAAACTTACAAAAACTTGGAACCTCTGGAGCATAAAGATAAAGGAACACACTACAGGAGCATGTTTATATTCATCCAATACCAGTTCGTACTGACTTATGAAACTATGTTTGAAGTACCTTACAGCAGTGTCTTCTTCATATCCAGTTATCCAAATTTTCAATGTTGGAATTAACAAATAGCTATATTTGGCATTTGAATGAACATTACATGCTTTCTGTACTATTTTCCAAGAATGTTGTTTTGCATACATTTTACGCTTCCAACTTAAGAACGAGAGATTAAGAACAAGAGAATAAATGAATTTTTGGAAGAAAAAAAAAAGATACTGAGAGATGCAGAAATTACATCCATGCTTTATAAGACCACACCAAATCAACTAAATGCAGTATTAGGTGACCCCACGCACACATGTACTACCACAATTTTCTCAACCTAAAATCTCTATTTCAATATGCTAGTATCTTGCATGGACCTTTTTCCAACAATGTCCATTTAATATTGATCCCCAACAATCGATAGGCAAAATAAAAAGCAGAGTTGAAGAAGAAGATAAGGTTGGATTCCATCTTACATTTTGTACCCCTCTAAAGTGTAAACTTCCTTCAAATTTGAAACCCTTTGGTCAAAAGCAACAGTTTTTCCCACGTCATAATCTCTAACAAGAACTTGTCTCTCAGCACTACCCTAAAAAAATAGCAACATATTACCAAAAGATGTTAAGGCACCATTGGTCTTTCAAAAAATAAGTATTAGAGATGCAATGGCAAATGAAGGTTGACTGAAAGAATTACAAAACAAGACAACATAGCTAAAAGTTGGATCCCGACATTAAATCAGCAACAGAACTTACCCATCCTTAGAAATCAGTAAGCAGCAAGCACCTATATGCACAATTTGTCTGAATTTGGATGAAGGTAAATCGTATATGGTGTCACATACACCCAATACTTCTTTCTAGAGAAACATTTTGATTAAAGGCTTTTTCTCTAACTAGAACTATGCCAAATGATAGGATGGATATAGAAATATCAACAGAGAAAGTAGAAATGATGGCCGAAATGCATCATTACCACGTCGATCAAGACATTAACCACAGTAGGATTGTCTGAATGTATAACAGAAATTGTAGTTGGGTGGTTAGTCTGAGGAAGCATGTGATTTGGAATATTCAACCTACACCAAAAAAAGTGCAATTCTGAGAAAGAAATGACCCAAGAAGGGATATATCAAATACGCAACAAAAAGAATGTGTCAAAACAAAATAATATACACATACACACAACTCCTTACCTTGGTCTGGCAAAATCATATATGATAATCTGAAGGTAATTGTAGTTTGCCTCTCTTGCACATGACCTCAAAAGAAGAGAATCTTTATGATCTGTCACAATAAAAGCGTTCAGCAACTTGCCAATGGCATTTTCAATAGCAAGAGCCCACTTATCATCATGAATCAAATTCTGCAATGAAGAGAGTAAGCAAGTAGTTACAAATAGTTCCAATGGCAAATAAAAAAAGAAATATGACCTTTGACATATATAAGATTTTCAAATTCAAAAACCCAGTAAAAATAAGACCTAATCTTTCAGTTTTTAAAAATGGAACTTCATAAAGTAGAAACCACCAAAAATTAAGTAAATAAAAGAGTAATTCTAACTTTACAGTACAATTTTAGACTGGATGTTGTGCAAGCAAACAGGATAAAGATTTTACGACAGAGGGTGCCTAAAAGTAAAAATGTCTGCCTTAAGCATTACAGTACATGTAGGACTGGATGCCTCCAGTACATATGTTTCATTGAGCGACACAGCAATGAGTTATGAGTTCAACAGGGCAAACATAGCCACATCATCTATCAAGTTAAAAAGGTTCCATGTGTTGACGTTTTGGCTGGAACCCAATTACCAGGCCCATTGGTGGATACCTTCCACTCACTCCCGTCCCCTTTTCTGTTGACAGTGTCCCTTCCACACCTGATCCATTGATACTATAGGATGATTTTTTAATTACATTTGCAAAGCACGTCATGAGAGAAGTCCAAACTCCTGAGAAACAAGATCTACAAGACAAAATAGATTAATGCTACATATAATGTTGGGTTTCTTTGGAATTACTATTGAATGGTGAGGTAGGGGAGGTTCTCATAGGATTTTATGTGGGTTATCTGATTGTAAGAAGCAACATCACTGTTTAGATGGAAGAAAACACAATATGAGGTTTTTGTTTTGTTTTAAAATCCTTACGACGCCGTGATAACATTCTAGACCAAAAGCCACAAAATGGCATCATAAAGCTTCAATTGAAACAAGGGACACATATTTCATGTAGCCATGAATCATTGGTTTATTAATGGGTGCCTTAATCAAGATGTGAACACGAGATGTCCACTCCACCGTTGCACAGGAGAGGTTCTGGGCTCTATCTGTATGATGGACTAGTGGCTTAGCTTAGCATGCACATCCATGATTCCTATCTAGATCTTATTATATATGTTGATTTTATCAATTAGGAAATAATTTCCGAGAAAATGTAGATAGACAGAGATTGATGACTGTGGGGACATACTAAGAGAGAATAGGAGCATTGGATTAGTGGAAATGGAAGTAGGAAAATTTATAAAGGACTGTTGAGCTCCAAGTGCTACAGCACAGGAGCTGGGTTTTCTAAAAAGTCAAGATCATTTGTTTCCAAGAGGTCAAACTAGAAGACAATTAATAACAATAACCGATGCCTACATGAAGAAATTGAACCACACATGACACATATATGCCAGACTGTCAGAATGTTTGGTTTCTCAAGTGATAGGCCATAACTGACCGCAACTTATGTCTAGGCAGCAATGGACAAAGAAGATCTTAGTAAAAGAAGCAAGATTGCCAAAACCGTACACCCGAATTCAACACCCATTTAATTTTTCCAATATATATCATCTAATTTATACTGTATACATAAAGCAATCAAATTCGATGGGAGGGTACTTCAGAAGCCTTGCCTCTCACTTTCCTTCATCTTAAAATAATTATTTAATTACCACACATAGTTTTAATCAGATATAGTCTAACACATGTCCCATGTAACTACCCCTCCACCTCATTAATTAACTACCACTCATTCAGAATTTTTTTTAAAACCAACCACGGATTTTTTTTTAAAAAAAATAGTTTTACAATCCTAACTTTACATAATTCTTCCATCACCCTAATTTTTTTATAATTTTCTAACTTTTCAAATAAAGGATGACAAAGAAAAAAAGGGAAAGGACGGAAAGCGAAGAGGAAAAGAGATGCGTAGAAATTCCATGCATTGCATGGGGCTGCAGCTGGTTATATTCAGCCAATCACTTTTAAGCATATTCTCCATTGTAGTTATTGAATTGGGCAGCAAAAAGGCAAATAGTGGAAGAAACAATTAACAATTGATGTAACTATTAGCAATTCAAGCAACTTGACAAAAGGAGGCACCATTACTGCCTATTACTGACCACATGGGCACCGATGGGACCAATGGGTGGCCTCCTGAATCTATGGTGATGCCTCTCAATAACTTGTAAGAGATTGGTCACTCTAACTCCCCCAAAAGCTGTAACCTGTGGCAAAATAATCCAATTTCACAACAAAGCATTACATTGCCATGAACAATCAAAAGCAAGAGTGTTTGTAGATGTCTTTATTAAGAAAGTGTTTGTATATGCAAATGGACTATAGTGTTCAACAAGAAGGCATCCACCATGTAAAAATATCAACACACACCACTGAGATTGCATACATGAATCTTTTTCTATCACTATACTATATCTAATGTCATGTTTTATATTACACCACAAGCTACCGTATGCTTCAATTTTTCAATGCCCATAATTTTGGTAATCCTCTAAAGCTAGTATTTCTGTCAATAGGTACTAGATCACATAACACTTCTGCAGTAATGCAGTGATAGGTCTTCTTGGAATATGTACAAACTAGCTGAGTGAATTTTATCATAATTTATCACTTATTACTGCTACTTTTTCCATTTCAAATATATGTTCATTCCTACTTTTATCTTATGAGTGGATTTTATCATAATTTATCTCTTACTACTGCTACTCAAATATATCTTCATTCCTACTTTTATATTATTTCTTGTTCAGGATACATCCATATTAACAGAGCATTTTAGCTATCATGCACCATAAAACATAGCTAGTCTAGCAACACATGACCTCTCCCCCCTTCCCAAACAAGAAAAAAAACTCTTCCTTACATGCATCAAGGGACCAAAGAATCATTCGAACCTTGTTGCTTTGATGCAATTGAAGGTCACGGATGTACGAACGAAGCTCACGATCCTTCTTTTCATTATCGTCAATCTGAAAGGGAAATAAACCACTTAATTGCAATTGAGGCGTAACAAATACAAAGGAAGCTCCGGCACACAAGTCTCAGACCAAATGAAATATGTTAGACATGCTGAACAAGTTCAATAAATCAAGATCTCCAATATCCTCGATGAATTTTAAGTGAGTCATCATGATTTACAGGGCCTCATTGGCGGAATATCCTGTTTTACTTTGAATGTGCTATGTGAACAAAAAGCTGATTTGAAGTATATGGCTCTCCCCTAATGTCAAGATGTTAGCTTTGACAGAGGTCAGAAGAAGACAGCACTATTCTAACATCAATGGTTTAGCTATGAATGTAGCTCAGAAGAAGACAACATCACTGTGATGCTTTAACAGGGAAGACTCAACAGAGCCTTTTCCACTGATAAATGCTTGTCAGGTGGAGACACTAGCACAACAATAGATCGTGTGCTCTCCATTGCTGTCTCTCTTTCTCCATCTGATTTAAATGGGAAGAGTTAACAGAGGTTTTTTTAATGATTAATGCACGTCAAGTAGAAGCAACAGCAAGACAATTAACCATGTGTTCTTCATTGCCCTATCTCTTTCTCCATTTGGCAGATAATATACAGAATGAAGGAATGTGTTAATTTGTGCTTCTGAATGCAACCACGCTTTGGAGACATCCTGTTATGGTTTTGGTAGGAGAAAAGGTTATGCCTAACAGGTATACACCTTTATGGCTTTCTAATGTCTGATTCGGATGACAAAATGGGTATAAATCTTCTAAAGGATAATTCTAAAAACAATGCAGGAACAGAATCCATTTCTTAGCTTTCTTGCCAGTCATCCATCTCCAAAGGTTTTGGACAAACATTAGGTTGGAGACAGCTATTTCATTTAACAACCAGATCACTAGTAGTCATTGTTCCGAGATGGTCCCCCTGAAGAATTATCAATTCAACTTGATTCTATCCCCTTGTGTAATCTATCTCAAGCACAAAACTAGTATTCAGAGATCACGAGGGAGAGTCTTTTCACAGATTCTGTAACCATAGGTGGGCATTTCGCTACTCTTTCTAAGGCCTTACATAAACTCTTTTTCCTACTTTATGGGCCTGATAGTGCAGATGCCGCATCAAGAGTAAAGGGACCTTTAACTATTCAAGCAGAAGCTACAAAGTTCAAGAATAAAAGATAGGAGAATACATTCAATATAACATCAAATTTCTCAAGGGTGGGCCTTGGCAGTGGTAAGATTGCTCCATTGTGACCTGCCAGGACGTCAAGGGTTCGAGCAGCAAAACAATCTTTCTGCATGCTACCCAATTATGAAACAAACCCACACAGCATATCCTACGACTAAGGCCTTGAACACAATACACGACTTCAGAATCTCACAGCTCATCCCACAACTATCATGGTGTCATTCAATAGCAAACATTTGTGAATACATAAAAATCCTTGCATACAAATACGTACCTCGCAAGCAATTTTTTTGATCTCATCCTTTGCAATGGTTAGGCTTTCTGATAAGGCATCCTCTTCCTCCTTCAACCTGAAATATTATCACTTTCCAATGATCTAAAGAAAGAGAGATTGAAAGGTAAGCTATACAAAGAATCCAACTACCCCTCCATGCATCCAACAAACAACCCAAACCCCCCCCCCTTTAAAAAAAAAAAAGGAGAAAAAAAAACATCATGCATGCATACTCATGAACTAGTGAAACAAACAAATTGATAACCTTTGAATTGTAAGACTAGCTTTGTCAACCTCATCTTGAAGCTCCTTCAGCTTTTGCTCCATCTCAGATTCTTCAGCCTGAAGCAAATTAGAGGTTAAAGGCATATAACTCACTTTTAACTTGATGTTTTGCAATAATAAACAACACTCACCGACTCTTCTAACAATGGCATACTACTCTGGTCAAACCAAAAAGGTCACATTCTAAACTCAAGTCAACTCATCAAAACCTTGGTGCGTAACAATAATAGCCTTCGCTCTGACGGTGTACAATTCTTGAAGATAGAACACCAGTATGATAAATTCACCAAACTAATGCGAGAGAAAGACAGAAACAAAAACATCCCTCCACCACCTCAACCCATACCAAAATCAATTTCCCCAAAACCCTTCAAAAATCAACCCCACCAAAATCAACCCCAAACCACTGTCTTTTTTTTTCTTTTTTTTTTTTTATTTTAACAGGAAACAGAAACTTTGTATTAACAAGAAATGAAAGGTACATCAAAAAGTTGGATAAGGAATCCAACNCTTCTTTTTTTTTTTTTTTGATAGAAGAGCAACTTATGAACACAGCAAAAGAACTATTAGTGCAACAGAATTTGTGTTCTCAAAGAATCACAACATCGCATGTAACTATGTAAGTCTTAAACACAATCATTAATCAGCTACAACACAACCCCCTTTTGCATTGGTTTTATATGGAGTTTGATGTAAATCCCATTCCAAATTCTTTTACTCGAAATTGAGGACCCGACCCATGCAAGGCCTAGATCAAACTAAAATGGAAAATTTGGATTTTTGGGTCCAACTTTTCCAGATTTGATAACTTCTATCAATCCAGGCTACAAGAATGTAGAATCATTGAGATACAAAATATTCTCCACACACTATTCAATCTTTAAGTAACAATCACATGATATTAATACGAAACCACAAAAGAAGTAAAAGCCAATATTCCTGAGTATTAACAACTCACAAGCTGCCGATCAATTCTGGCTTGACAAGCCGGTATCCGCTCCTTTAACTTTTCAATCCTTGCATTTTGCTCCTGGAGTTGCTTATCTACATCATATACCCATGACCATGCAAGTTTCTTCTTTAGCAACTGCACTTGCTGAGATATTTCTTCTACACGCTCCATGCTTTTGATCTTCCCTTGCAACTCATTAAGTTCCTTTAGTATGGGACTTATTGATTTCTCCAGTTTATCAACCAATTCATTGGCACCACTCAATTCTTTCTCAATACTTCCTAAAAGATCACTAACTTGATACAGAAGTGTTGCCCTGAAGAAAAACTGATTAAGATGATACAATTAGCCCCAGATAGTGGTCACCTGCCCTTAACTACCTAAGTACATAAACACACACCAGGCAAAACTGCAGACATTGAGGATCAAATTTCTCCAAGTTCAGGCATGCTAATTTCCAAGTCTAATTTATAATTACAATGGTAAAGGAGACCAGAGGAATAGAAAGCCCAAAAGTATTGCAAAACGTAGTAACTTTTTATTTTCAATTCTCACCTTGAATTTATCTTTGTCATTTCCTGAATGCAAGAATTCTCTGCTTTTGTCCTGACTCATTATCACACAAGGATTCTCAACATCAATCTGCACAATACGTAGTCCAATATCACAAACATCCATGGAAAGCATGTGATGTCTGAATAAACACAGGAAAACTGCTATTTCCAGGAAGACAAACATTGAGATTTGATAATACACCTTTTGTTGCTTAGAGCACAGACAAAAAGCAAAGTTTGAGGTTGACTTTGTATATTATTTACTAAATTAGAAGTTGGAGAAAAGCCTCTCAAGGATTTAAAACAACCAGAACTAAAACTACATATATGGCATGGAAGTTTAATAATACATACAGAAATCTAAATGGGAGGTAGATCAAAAACCACGATATAGCAAAGAGTGAACAATCTCAACATTGAATGTTAATTATTTATATGAAGAGAATTAAAACATGACAGTAAAGAATGTTGGCAGCTAAGGAATAACACCTTTGTGAACTAAGTCTGGCTGAACTGCAATTGATCAGATGGAAGTATGGCAAAAAAAAACTTGATATAAACAAGGATGTTTACATCATGAAATGGTAGAAGTAACACCAACAGAGATATGATTAAGTGAACAAGGCAATGGTCCCATGGCCATCCCAACTCCCAGCGGGAGGTAAATAACCCTATGACTATGTAGAGCTAGTTAAATGGATTTGAGACAATTATGAGATGTGTTGGCTTGCTATATTCGAACTATTTTACAGCGCATGTTTGATGCTTATGTCACTATTAAAACGTATCTCTACACTCAATTTGTAAAAGTGATTTCTATGAGATGTTGGTCAATCATCACATTTTATGGGTTCTCCCTTGTCAACATTTTTCAGGTGTTCGGGATAGAGTTTGGTTCTTGGGTTTGTCCTAAGGGTATAATACCCTAGTTTTGATATCTTAGCACAATAGTTGTAGTACCATGTTGTTATCCTAGTTTCATCTGTTGATTGAGTGTTGCTTATATTCTCAAGCATCTGATCTTGGTATGGTAATTGAAAATATTGATATCAGGCATAGTTTGCTCCAATAGGGGGAGTTGAGGTTGGATCCTTCCAAAATGGGTTGTGACAGGTACGGTGCTATGAGAGGTGGGAAAAGTAAAGACTTAACTAATGGCTTATAGATCTAAGAGTGAAAATGTTGAAAAACTTTGCAATGTAACAAAACTTTAACATAACAAAACAAGCTATACATTAACACAATATATTGTATGAAACAGGCAAAACTCACATTGAAATGTTCTACAAGCTCAATAAGGTCATCTCTTCGATGAGCTATCTTTTTTCCTGTAAGATATTTCAAAAAGAAAGAAAGTCCACGTGACCATGACATCCCACATCACAAGAACATGTATCGAAAAACTCCGAAAAGAAAGAGAGAGACATCAGATGCATGAACAAATAGACTTCTACAACCCCACCAAACAAAGAGACTTCTTTTTACAAAAAATAAATGATGGTGAGATCAATATCCGGGAATATTATGGGGGCGTCAAGTTCCAATAAATAAAGAGGAGGTAAGTTGAAAAAAACTACAACGGAGAAAATAGCTTCAACTAGTGTGGTCAATATCTTTAAATCATGTAAACATATGAATATCTATCCTGTCAAGATTTACGTTAAGTATAAGAAAATCCACACATACCATTCTACTAGTTCTTCAAAATTTTTGAAATTTCATAGACAATTTATAGGATGTTATTCTCATCCACGCTCCAGAAGAAGAATGCGACAACATTAGCTAAGTCAAACTTTTTGTATCCCTACACGTAGAAACCAATAGCGAACTGAAGCACTTAAAGGTAAGCATTAGGCACTGTCAGAAATTTGAAGGTCTACGTAAAGGAGGAAGAATTCATTTTGTCAGTCATTTACAAATGCCATGAATTTGCATAACTGTAATTCTCAACAGTAGTATTGTCAAAATCTTTATTCATGACACCCAACATCTTGTTTTAATATTTCTTCATACTATAGTGCATATGCAATGTCTGGATCAACAATAAATGTTGAATACACATCCATCAGCTACCCATTGATCTCAACAAACCAAGACGTCAATTGAAAATGCATCTTCGTTAATTTTATAAGATTGCACTATATGGATGGTTTAACCACTGCAAAATTCCAGGGAGACACAGCCATCCCCTGGCAAAAAATGGAAGCATAAACAAGGCAACAAGCATTAAAATTTCATTGGTTTATAGTTTTGGTCAACTAGGGAGTGGAAATGATTCATGGGAAAAATGGATACAGAGAAATAAGTTGGAAACGAGTGAAAACAGTTGGAATCATAAATTAAAATTAATTTATTACATAGATAAGCTCAGCAATATATTAATTGGGCATGTTTAGTATCTAAAGATCCATCTATATTGGATGATACACATTCGGAGAACAAAAGCAAAGGTGGATGTGATGCAGAATTCAAGTCAAATACTGTTAAACAGCTCAATTTTATTAAACAGACAAATTTACATGATTCTAAGGACCTATAATCGATACTACCAATAAGAACCACTAAGCTTGAAATATTTGGTTGAACAATATACCCTTGTTAAAATAATTAGTCACATTATCATCACTTGATAACTCAAAAAGGCATAAATAATCCTTTATTTATCTCTATAACTATGGTTATATGAAATATTATATATAATAAATTTAGCTATAACGATAATAAATACTAAATATTAAATAATATAAAAGGTTGTGATGTCAAATGGTTTGAAAACTCTTGAATTACCATATTACCTTAAATACATAATAAGACAACATTGTCAATCTGCATTAATATGCACTACCTTTTTGATAAGAAAAAAAAAAATTAATTCACTAAATTTGTTTACATGAAAAATCATTTGGTGCATTGTTAGTACGAATAAAGAGCTCATGACCATATCTTGTGACAAACCAAAAAATTTCCCACCACCACCGCATTCCATGATACAGGTATGAAACGACATAATTTCAGCCCAAACATTGAAATTCAGATAACAGACCAATTCAAAACATTATCATTTTGATTGAAGCATAAGAATTTAGATATTCAATCACTAATTCACTTCAATTTTTTCTGAAAACAAAAAGTTTCAATCACTTCATCCGATACAAAATGTAATTTAATCTATGTGAATAATAGAACAGCCAACGACACTACTTCCTCAAACAAGATACCACGTATTAAGTGTTTTTCTGTCTTCTTGATGTGAACTAGACCATATGGTTGCTCACCCCTCCTTGAAATAAACTACTTTATAAACTACACAAATTTAGAGACAAGAACAAGATGATTTAACAATACCTTGGTGATTTTTTAAAATGGTGGAACTAGTGGATGAAGTAATCCTACGCTCTATAACTATGGTGTCACCATATGTTTCTGGCTTGAAAGCATCATCCCCATGATTTTTCATTTCGACGTGAACGAGAGCATAACTGAAAAGAAACATGGGGAAGTATGTACAAGTCAGAAAAAAACAAATGGAACTAGACTAAAACATGCAGTTTCAAAACATATATACAAACTAGGGAAGAATGTGGACCTTGAAAATCTAATATACAACAGCAATTAAGAAGATCTTTAACCCTCTGCAACAATTTATCCAAGGTTGACTTACTTTGTAGCACCTAAGTCCACCCGAATAAGGCCACTTCAGGATAAACATTGGTCACCTAGAATGTCATCCAACAGAAACCCGGAGAAATATCTTCCCTTAACAGCTTAGATTTAGCCGCTGCCCCCCCCCCCCTCAATACCACTTAACAATGAGAATTTTGCCTTTCCCCAATTTGTATCCACAGAAAACTGTATTCCCTAATTTGTCACCATAAAACGGAACAAATGCATGTATTGTTTACCCATAACTCCAAAAGAGAAAGAGATCAAACACCACAAACCTGCAACCAGTCTTTATAAAGTCTTGCATCGTTGCCGCCCTTTGCGTGCCTTTAGCTCGGCATCCGAATGCCACACACAACGCCGTCAGTATCGCACTCTTCCCACCTACACGCACCCACAATTAAAACCCAAAAAACAATATGTAAATTTCTATAAAGACATTGTGCCTTTGTGTGTCTCTCTCTCTCTGTCTCTGTGTGTGTGAGAGAGAGAGAGACTTACTTCCATTCTGGCCTGTGATGAAATTGACACGATCGCCGAGCTCGATTTCGAGATTGCTGTGGCACATGAAGTTCTCTAACCGGATTTTGGACACAATACCAGCTTGGGGACGATAGTATCCACCAGATTGTCCGGTGAAAACAGTAGAATCTGCCATATTTTGATCTTCTAGGGTTTTATCAGAGAAAAGAAAAAAGAAAATTAGAAGAAAGAGAACAGCGATTCAAAGCAACCCAAATCCGAATGTATTTGTGGGAGAGGCGGTTATGGCGCTCTCCCGGCTTTGGGACAAAGGCGGGAAGAGTGAATTTTGCATGTGACTCATGAGTAGGAAGGACCATATTGAATTGACGAATTATTCCAAACAAAAAACAATGCTAAACAGACCTAATCTCGGGACTTAATCTCGTATAAAATTGTCTCTTCGGGATTTTTTTTACAAGAAAAAAAAATCAATGAGCAATAGAGTTAAAAGGCTATGTTTCGTGGGATATTCAAATTCATGATCTATCCCTTATGTGAGTTTTATTAGGTAGTTAAATTACTACTACGCTAACCGTTAGGGTATAGAACTTATTTTTTAATATCATTTATTACATAAATAAATTAGGTTTCCAAATAATATTTTTCTTCCAAAAGTAATTTTATCATATTTAGTAATTTTATCATATTTGGTAAGTTGCTTTGCATCTAAATTGTGTCAAAGTAACTATGTGGTTTATTAATTAGATCTAAATCTTTTTTATTATATTTTTACTTAATTTACTTAATAGTATATTACGCACCATGAATGAGTAAGGGGTTAATGTATAAATAGTGAGACTCGCTTATATTTAATAGTAAGTGTTCTACCATTAAATAAAATTAAGAGAAATTATAATACGAATTTCATTCCTTATTTATTAAATAGGTCTTAAACAAGTTAATCAGTTATGACCCAAACTCTTCAAAATTAAACATACACATACTATTTTTCATGTCAAATTTGTGGCAAAACTAATGCATAGTTATAAGAATTGTCATCTGTTCAAGTTATAGAATTATCTATTTGTTACTTTGTACAAATAGATAAGAATGTGTATATCCAATACTTTTCAAATCTCTCTAGTGACAAGAGTCTATGTACTCCATTGTTATTTCTTTTTTCAATTTTGTAACTAAAATGTGCCCTTCATTTAAGTTTACTAAAATGTAAAGATTAATATGGTTTTTCCAAGAAATTTGATTAATAAGGATTGAAATGTTATGTTTTCTAAGAATCTAGTGGATGCGTTTTCGTGCCTAAAACCTATATGATAATGTTGTGTTTAGTAGCCCATCACAAGCATCACTAACACCATTGACACTGTGGAATTTGCAAGCAAGAATATCCACAATCATAATGTTGGTATAACATCATAGTAAGTGAAACAAAACACTTAAAATTCCATGGGTGAAAGTCGAAAACAAAGAAAAAAGAAAAAGAAATATCACTCCTCCTATACCAATCCCCACAATTTGAAGAAAAAGGGAAAAAAAAAAAGTATCAAACCAATTATATTAATATTCCACAATTGTCTTTTGTATTTTAAGACAATCCCCACCACTACCCCCACCCCCAACAATGGAGGCGTCGACATTGCCACCACCACCACTTGCAAACAATTTTCTCTTAGGCTTGGCCTCTTGCAACATGGAGACCACATCCCTCATCGAGGGTCGATCAGCTGGATTTCTACTAGTGCATAGCAATGCAATTCTCAATAGCAACATCATTTCCTCTCTCACTGAGCCACAAGAAGCACCGACGTTTTTGTCGAGCACATCTTTAATCCCATCTTTCATCTTAATTTTAAATCTTACCCAATCCACTATACTATTGCCATCACCAAATTCAGCATCAACCGATCTTTTACCGCTCAAAATCTCCATCAACACTACCCCATAACTATAGATATCACTCTTCTCGTCAACTTGTAATGTGTAAGCATATTCTGCAAAATCAAACAAACTCTCTTTAGGTGACCACTCAGAGCAACATAAAAGGGTAAAAGTATACATATTTCATATTCTTGGCCCCAACTGCATAAAATATTTGAGGTAAGTACTTTACAAAATCTTAGTGGGGGCCATGACTGAAGAAAAGGCTAAATTAAAGAAGAGGAGAGTACTTCACGCGCAATAGTGCGCATAAGAAAAGGTTTGGGCTGCGGTACACCACGCCACCTGCTCACTGTAGCATACAATTGCACTTTGCGCCCCCGGTCCATTTTTAGCATTAGCCAAACAATGGGGCTTAGCTTAAATTGCGCTGAATTGTGGGATTTGTCTACGATCGGATAAAAAACAAAAGGGTATCGTACTATGTGTACTTGTGATTAATCTTAATAAAGTATTATAAAAATAATTATTACAATAATATTTAAAATATCCAAAAAAAATGATAAATTTTTTTGTTATAAAAATTATAATAATATTTATTAAAATAATAAAATTGATTGATATAACATATTTTTCATTTCATACTGTAATCAGATCTTGAATTGTGACACGGAACATCATCAATGTCACAATTCACTAAAGTGCAATGGAATAACAGGTTACACTCAAGTTATCCCAGTGCACGATAGTCATGTGTTGTCACCCAAGAAAACGAACTTAAAAGAACACACTACAAGAGATCACCCACCCAAAAAAGTCAGGGTCACGCAACCAAGTACCAGCACGCGCATATTCCGGCGCACGTTAGCCATATTTTGTCACCCAACAAAATGAACTTGCTGAACTTTTTGTAACGGGGGAGGGATCAAAAGTTTAATTGTTTAGTGAATTTGTCTTGTGATAATTGTTTAAAATTCAATTACATATTATTAAATATGATATATTGTTCAAACATATTTTGAAAATTAATGTTTCTAACATGATGGCAAAATTGTTTATTCCTTAATCCGAGTCTTCAAAATTTCGAGATGGGTTGGAATTTCGTGGGTGGAATATAATACAAAATGAAATTAATTACCAAATTTTGTCAACTTGTCCGGATTCAACTTCTCTATTGTAAAACAAGAGTGTTGTTTTAAGGAATAACACCTGGACGAGCTGAACACCAACTTGTCGTCAGCCAAGGTGCATAATAGCAAAATTTAATCACCCAAAGAAAATGAAGAGGTTCAAATTCATACCTGGCGCAATATAGCCATAGGACCCAGCAATCACAGACATGGACTCATCGCACTCCATCAACTTGGCCACCCCAAAATCAGCTACTCTGGCCTCCATCTCACCGTCCAACAGTATATTACTCGGCTTAAGATCACGATGCACAATCACAGGATCACAGTCATGGTGAAGATAGCAAATCCCCTGAGCCACCCCTAGTGCTATCTTGTACCGGGTGAGCCAATCACCCACCACCAAATTATCACCCTTCTTGTTGTGGTTGTTCTTCCCATGCAACAAGTCATCAAGACTCCCATTGGGCATGTACTCGTAGAGCAGCATCGTGCACCCGCTGTTGCTGCAACACCCTAGCAATCTCACTATGTTCCTGTGCCTCACGTTCCCCAATACATCAACCTCGGCTAATACCCCTCTCCTCCGTCTGATCGTTTCCTTGTGCTTACCCCACAGTTTCTTCACCGCTATGATCTCACCACCTGGCATTTCTGCCTTGTAGACTGTACCCGTGGACCCCATTCCTATGATCTTATCAGTCATTGCAAGACACTCTAGCACATCATCAGCCGTGAAATTCAACCGCTGAAAGGCGGTTAATTTCCACGGTCCGATCTGCCGGTCGTCGGAAAATCTACGGCTGAAACTCGCGTGCAAACACCGGCTGCCGGCGATGAGGATGACCAGTCCGATGCCAAATGCGGCCGCCATAATCCAAATAATTGCTCCGGCGGTCTTCTTCGGCTGTGGCCGGACCTCTACTGCCCCGGCGGAGAGTCCACCTGTCCGGCATGCTTTGTGGAGAATCCCACCGCACAGACCTTCGTTTCCGATGAACGACGACGGATGAAGAATTGAAAATATCGAACCTGATGATGGTACTGGTCCCGTGAGCTGATTATACGATACATTGAAGCTTTCCAGCGTACTACAATTATCAAAATTCGACGGAATTGAGCCGGTCAGTAGATTATGCGATAAATCAAGGTCGGTGATCGAAGGAAGAGTCGACATTTCCCATGGAATAATTCCGGTAAGCGAATTTCGGCGTAAATTCAAACTTATCAACTTCTCGCAGTGACCAATCTCCCATGGAATGTTACCGCTTAACTCGTTTCCTTCAAGTTCAAGCTTGTACAAGCTATGACATCCTGATCCAATGATCTCTGGTATTTTGCCGATGAGCTTCGCATAACTTGCAGAGAAAATCTGTAAACTCTGTGCGCTCCATATATTTTCAGGCAATTCAGTGTTGAATGAATTTCCGGATACGTTCAAGTACTCTAACTTGGCTGCATTGCCAAAATCTTTTGGAATCGAGCCTGTGAAGTTGTTCTTGCTCATGTCCATGAACGTTAGATTTGGCAAGAGCCCAAAACCATTTGGTATTGAGCCGTTGAGTTTGTTGTTTTGAATTCGAAACCTCGATAAGGTCGTACAGTTTGAAAGTGATGGAGGAAGCTCACCAACAAAGGTGTTAGAGAAGAGGATGAGTTTGATCAGCTTGTTTCCAAGGCAAAGATTCGGCGGTATTGGACCAGATAGCGAGTTTGATGACACATCAAGCATCTGTAATTTGGCATTTGAACCTAACTTTTGGGGTAACATTCCGGTGAGAGAGTTGTTCCACAGATAGAGAATTTCAAGAGCTGGAAACTCAGCGATACCATCCGGAATTTCACCGGTTAATTCGTTGTTCATCAACGACAATGAATATAGCCCTTTCAAAGCTGAAATTTCACTTGGAATAGTACCTGAGAGTTGGTTATCCGATAGATCAAAGACTTTTACAGCTAACAATTGGCCAAAACTCGCCGGTATAGAACCGGAAAAGTGGTTTTTGAAGAGATACAATGCCTCCAGGTTCGTCAAGTTACCAAGCTCATACGGAAGATCACCGGAAAGATTGGCCGTTGAGATGTCAAGATACTGCAAAGCTGACAGAGTCCCCAATTGGCCCGGAAGACCACCGGTGTACTCATTGTACCCGATTTCTAAACGCTCGAGCTGTGTCAAGAAACCCAACTCAGCCGGAATCGGACCAGTAAGTAAATTTCCGGCGAGGTGCAAAACCTTCAGCGTCGGAAAACTGCCATAACTGACCGGAATAGACCCGTCAAAGTAGCTTCCACCAAGGTTGAGATACTCGAGAGAGCGGAGATGAATGATTTCCAGTGGCAATGGACCTATGAAGCTGTTGCTGTAAGCATTCAAGTAGGTGAGAGATTTGAGCTTATATACACCAGGTGGGAATGTGGAATTGAAGAAGTTATGGTTGATGTCAAGTGTTCTAAGGTTTGGTAATTCAAAAATGGCTGATTCTAGAGGACCATCGAATGAATTTCGACTCAAATTCAAATGATGTAGGTGTGACAAGTATCGAATATCTTCTGTGATGGTGCCTGAGAGGTTTCTGTTCGAAAGATTCAATGATGTGATCTGAAAAGTTTTCCGGTCACATTTGACGCCGGAAAATGAACACCAAATGGGTTGAATTTGAACCCCAGGTTTTGAGAAGGTGGGTGTGGAGTCCCAGTCATGGAAGGTGTTTAGAGGGTCTCTAATGGAGGATTTTAGAGAGAGAAGAGCAATGAGTTGGGGAGGTAGAGTTGTGGTACTGGTGGAGATGACTATGGAAATCCTTAGAAAGATGAAGGTAAATGCTGCGAGGAAGAGAGGGACAGAAGGGTGTTTCATGGTTTTGGGTTTGAATTTGATGGAGTTTTGGGTGAGAAATGGGTTGTGTTAAGAGAGGTAAATTTAAGGGATGTTAGGTTTTGATGGCTTGAATTGCTTTTTGGGAGTGCTGGGTGGAGAGGGTTTTTCATGATGATTAGTTTCTTGAGTGGGTTTTTTGTTTGGTGTGAAGAGAGAGGAAGGGAAAGAAACTGCTATTCCTCTGCTTTCTTCTTCTACTACTACTGGTACTTTCTGTAACTCCTGCACTCACATTCCTATAATTTGATCACTAATCTCATGCTTTCTTGGCTTTTGCCTGCTCACCAACATTACTTTTGTTTTTCCTTGGATTTCTTTCCCCTTTTCTTTGTTTCTACTTTTCATCGTTCCTTATTTCTTTTACCTTTGGCCAGCATTTTGATAAATTTGGGCAGCAGTGGCAGTGTTTTCTCGCAGGATCCAAGAAAGTGGTTTCAATTTCTTACCAATTTCACCAATGCAGTTACTACTATTCTTTAAACAATTTTCTTTTTCTTTAAGCTTTCTTGACACGATTACTCCTTTAAATTTAACGGTTGGCAACGATCAAAAGAAAAACTCAACCACTGAAATATCTTATAAATTATTCTTTAAACAACTTGGTATCTCTTTCTATTTTTTTCACAATTTCTTTTGTCAATATTTTTCAAACTTCTGTAACTGAAAAGAGAATTTTGGTCTTGTGATGCATGATACTAATTGTTTTCACAATCAATTCTATTCGGTTGAACACTAAAACAAAATAAACTTACTTGTTACTACATAAGAGGACTACCTAGTTTGTGGTGTTCAATAGAATCATTATTTACAAATAATTGTATACATTCGAAATTTATATTATAAGTATGAGTACAAAATAAATATATCGGAGACAGTAATGCATTATCAACACGAGTAATGCTATGCTTATAAAATTTTGTACTTCAAATCACTGTAGGTGGTTGAATTAATAGGGTCTACTACCTTCATAAAAAATTCAATACATAGGATTTTCACATATTATTTAATAAAATGATTTTAATGATCTGTATTTTTTCGGACAGAGAATATAAGTTAACCCAAATACTCCATAATTATAATTAAAAAAAAAAAAAAAAAATTTCTGTATACTGGGGGCTTGTAAAATGTCAAAAAAATGTTTCAGTATTACATTGAACTGGGTACCAACCAATTAAAGGTTATCGCGGCAGTTTCTCCAATACAGACTGAACATATTAAATTCTTGCTGCAATTCTATCAGTTTGACTTTCGCAAAGCCTTTAAATGATGTACATTTACTTTTAATCATTAATGCTGTTAAAGCATACGCATGATGAGAATAGAGTCTTAAAGACAAATCATTCTCATCAATTTTATAAGGTAGTAATACTTTGGGTCTCTAATTTAGTATCTTAAATTACATTTTAATGAGTTTTAAAATTACATGTCTTATATTCAAATTTTTATAATTTTTTTAGTTCAAGTCATGAGAAATTTATACTCGTGAATACCTTAATCTCGGTGTAGATAATTTGTTTTTGACTTAACCAGACCGAAGAAAAAAATTAACAGTAGTGTTACACTGACTAAATTTTAGGATCAAATGACATAACAGTTGATTTGAGGTTCTTTATTTTATGTCATGTCATTTGATCTCTAAATTTAATCACAAAATTTGGTCAGTATAGTATTATTAAAAAATTAGTTGAGGTATACATAAACTAAACCGAACATTTTTGACTATTGAACTAAAAAATAAATGTCATTGAAAAAATTAAAGAGATCCTTTGATCCAAAGATTTATAGTGATTTCAAATACAATTTAGAATCTCTAACATTTCTCGTACCATAATCAACATCTGATTTTGTACACTCCAATGATTCACATTATCTCTTTTACTTAACGGTGTACGAAATTTATAATATCTTTTCAACATTATCGTTATCCGGTACTTCCATTCCACCTCCATCCATTCCCCCACTCAATACGCTTTGATTGATGCTTCTAACGATGACCAAGGTACATACATTAAGTATGTTTGTATGTATGATCGCATGAAAAAACAACAGGTTGAACAAAGTAACTAAACACATGGGTATTTACATATTAAGAGGAGGACAGTTCCGTAGTTGGGAGGACCTTTAAGGAAAGATTTCGTCACACTCTCTCCCTCTCTCTCTCTCTCTCTCTCCACAGCCATGTTGAAAGAAGTATCTTCTTCTTCTTATCTTTTTTTTTTTTTTTCCTCTTGTAAGTAAAGAGAAATTGATGAACTTATTATGTAAATAACAAAAAGTCATAATAATTTACATAAAAAAGGGCAAATAGTAGTTTGTATCCAGAAAGATTAAAAAAAATAATTTTCACCTTTAAAGATTAATTGTTTAAAATTACACCATAAATAAAATTAATTGATAACAATGTAACCCTAGCTCATACCGTCCATTTCGAATTTCATCAAATTGACAATCTTGTGTATATATGATGATTTTTGTTGGATTATAGCCCTTTCTCTTTTCACGTGCCTGTTAATCTAGCATAATCCACAATGAAGGTTATTAGTGGGATCACATTCCTATCGGTTAATTTTATCGAGGGTGTAATTTTAAATAATTAATCTTTAAAGATGTAAATTGAAAATTTTATGATCTTTAACGGTGTAAACTGCCATTTGAAGGAGATAATTCCGTTTGAATGTGGTCGATTGGCATCACTGAAATTGCCTGAAATACCCATCATAACTGTTCATTAACACATCTCTAGGCAGAGGGACAGAAAAGGTCCACAAGAGATAACAGCGGATTAGATGGGGAAGAGAGGCTTGGTACTGTGGGGCCAGTAAGATAGGTTTTGGTCAGTGGGACCCAAAGATCAGTTTGTCTCCCTCATACCCTCCATTCACGTGCCGCTTTAGCACCATCTGTCCCTCGCACGTGCTTCACTATACCCTTCCATCGCGTGACTGGCGTGACCCCATCTAGCGCCCTCTCCTTCCGCATGATGTCTGATTGTCCGTTACAATACTGCCAATTGACGATTTTCTCCCCTCTTTTTTTTTAAGAAAATATTCAATACAACGAAAATATTATAACTTGATATCATTAATTAATAATATATAAAAAAAATAAAAAATAGATTTTACACAAGTTAATAATTAGAATATTTATCATTGACACTTCCTCTAAATAAACATATTTTCAATGAGACTCATCTCTATTATTTGAAACATTACTGACATTTCATGTCAAATTAATGATGGTAATTAGAATATAATTTTACTAAATTACTTATGATATATTTTTAAAAAAATTCATCCATACCCCTGTAAACAAGCATATTTTTAATGAAATCCTCTTTTTTTTTTTAATTTTTTTATGTATTAAAATTCAGATCGATTAAAATTCGATTCGAGCTAATTAAAATTCATTTCTTACATATTAAAATTCGAGTCCATTAAAAATTATATTTTTTTATGTATTAAAATTTGAGTTACTCGAATTAAATTTTAACAGGCCAAAATTTGAATACTTAAAAAAATTAAATTTAAATCGATTCAAATTTTAATACGTAAACAACAAATTTTAATAAGCTTGAATTAAATTTTAATTGATCCGAATTCTAATATATAAAAAAATATAAATTTTATGAAAATAGCAACTCAGGTTGAGCTTGAATCGGCTTGAATTTTAATACATAAAAAAATAAAATTAATAGGCTTAAATTTTAATGCATAAAAAATTAAAATTTAATCAACTCGAATTAAATTTTTATCAGCCTGAATTTTAATATGTAGAAAAAAAAAATTTAATTAACTTAAATTTTATATAGAAAGATTGTTTAGGGTTTATGTAGAGACAATTTTAGTATTTTAGATACATTTTTTTTTGTTAGAAACGATGGTTTAACAACATGAGGTGTCAATGATGTTTAAATATAAATATAAATTAAAAAAAATGTCAATCGTGTTTTAAATAATGAGAAATATCTCATTGAAGATATGTCTATGTAGAAGAAGTGTGGATGATAGTTATCCTAATAACTATCATTTTACATACATGTAAGTCAATAACTACGCAAGTGTAGTTCATCTTGTTTCTTTAGCGCTTTATTATTGATTAATGATACCATATGATAATGTTAATATGATATCACAGTTACATTGAATATTTACTCTCCATTTTAAGCTATATATTTGTAACTAATGATGATGCACAAATTAGATTTGCACCCCACTTATAAGATAATCAGTAATAAATGTAGTAATAAAGTGGAGGGAGAGATGGAGACATAAGCAATACAAAGATTGGTCAACGTAGCCTACGTTTACTTTGAATGACTAGAATCAGGTGGGTATCTTATTACTTCAAGTGTGTGGCGAGAGTTACAAACTGAGAGAGATATTAAACACGTGCTCGACTGAATGTGATGCCCTTCAAGTGTTGGCGGGGCTTACAATTTATAGTCGTCTTATAACAAATGAGGTGAGTTATTAGTAATTAAGTGATTAATCTGGTAGAGCTGACACCTTATTCTCAACGGATGAGGTAATTATCGTGCTCTCCATAAGATTCGGTCAAAGAATGATGTGAGTGTTGACTATTTCCAAGGCGGCGTGGACAAGGCTCTCGGATGACCCTGCTTATTCTCTTGACGAGTTTGATTGGGCGTGGATCCTTTGAACTAGATATTGAATCTTTATAAGTTGGGCACTTAATTTAAACTGCACTCGTAGCATGAATTAGGCCAAAGATGATGTAATTATATAGACCATGATATTTTATTTTTTTACATTTGATTACCAAAACAAATATATAGATAGACCACTTCATAAATTCGTCAATATAACTAATAATTAAGCCAATTTTTATGAGTTCGAGCCAAGTTTTATGAGCTGAAGTAGAGTTTCTTAAAAAATTGTTTAAGCACAGTTCATTTTAGAAATAAGTTGAGTCAAAAATAAATCGAATCTAAGGCAAATCAGAGTAGTTCGACTATTTAAAATATAAACGAGTGGAGTTTTATAACCTTGAATTAGGCTTTTTAGGCTCGTTTTCTAAATGAGTCTAAAAGTTGAGTCATATCCGAGCTGAGTCCGAATTGAGCCTGGGTAGCTCGGTTCAATTATTAGTTTAATCCGTTGGGGAGTATTGTCCTTTAGTACCATATAACTATCTATAAGAGATCCCACCGCATTTACATTGGAGTCGAAGTTAAGGTCTTATAACGTATTTTGGACGATGAAGAGTAGGTTTAGTCTCAA